TCTCATAAGAAGTAAGAAATATTGTTTTATTTTTCTTAAATTTTAAATTACTTTAATACTCTCAATTATTTTAATAACACCAAATATGTATTTATGATTTTAAATAAATAAACTTTACATATAACAAACAAAAATTTAATACATCTATTATCAACTAATAATTTATTCCATAAAATTCGTAATTTTTAATTGGTTTTTAATCTTACAATTTTCTTTCTGAAGATTTTTTATTTTGTTATTTTATTTAAACTTTTTTACATATAAAAACTAAAATGTAATACATTTATTATAAACTAATATTTATTCATTATAATTCGTATTATTAATTAGTTTTTATCATATAATTTTTCTGGAAGATTTTTTAATTATAAATTTTTACTTTTATTTTTTTATCTAATTTTTTTTAGCTTTATTGATAAATTTTTCTATTGTTTTCAATTAAGTTCTTTTTCTGTATTTAAGCATATACTTATAATCAAAATTCAAAAATAAATCTTACCAAAAATGTTTATTAAGTATTTTTCTATCTCTTACTTTTGAATGAAAATATTTTCTTTAATAAAATATAATATTTTTTTTTATTATCAATCTGATAATATTATTTTACTCAAATCTGAGCTAATATCTAAAAATTGAATAGTTTTACTATTAAAAATAAACTAAATATTGATCTTTTTATAAATAATTTGATTGAAAATATTTTGCAAATTAATTTTATATCTTTTTGTAACTTTTTTTGGATAATAAAAAGATAAGTAGGTAATAAGCAGGCATAAATTTGCAAAATTAATTAAGCTTACAGTTATAGATTTTTAATTATCAAAGAAAAATCCAAATTTGGTTTTGAAAATATCAAAGAATTGCATACATTTAGAAGTTAAATTTGGTATTAAAAGATATATATATTTGTTTTTTTGACAAAAGTTTCAATCTTTGGAAATAGATTGATAATTCTTTTCTAAATGAATTTGATTTACTCGAATTTAAAGATATTTTGTAACCGCATAAAATTCATAAACAAAGAGTGTTCAAATTGTAGCAAATCTTTTTGCATTTAAAAACTTTATTTATGGTAAGTAAAATGGATTATTTTTGAAACGTATTTTAAAAATATCAATTAAGTGAAGCTTTAACTGATAAAACTATGATTTAATGAGTTGAAGGTTGTTCTATTTGAACCTATTTTTTAGAGAAATAGATATTATTAAAAGATAAAAATAATTATCTTTTTAATATTAAATATATGCTTTTTGAATAGAAAAAGAAACGTCTAATTTTTATTTTATTTATAAAATTTGATGCTTTTATTTTGATTAATTTTCTTTTGTGCGAAAGATTATTTTGCTTTTATAAATAAGCAAATCATTAAATTTTATAAAACATTTAATTTATCTTTATCTCAATTTGTTTCAAAATAGTTTTAAAGTGATTTAAGAAATAATTATGTCTATTGGTATAACATTATCGCTATTTTAATTATCCTTTTTTCTTTTCTTATTATAATCGAAGTTTTTTTATTTTGTCAAACTATAAAAATGAATAACTAAAACCATTGATTATTTGAGAAGAATAACTTTGTAAACAATCAGCTCTATCTAAATCATGAATAAAAAAATATAATCAGATTAACTGTTGGGAATAGTATTTTTTGAAATAGAAGATATATTTTTCAAAAATCGTTTCACTTCTTATTCCTTACTAGATTATTTAGATATCTTATTTAGAATTTATAAATAGCCTTTGTTACTGTATCATCCAAATTCATCAGATAAATTACATGAAATCAAAAATTTGATTATTTAATAGATATATTTTTTACCTTTTTTATAAAAACACATAAAAAATTACCTTAAACATGAAAAAAATAAAATAAAATGGAGGAATATGTAAACTGATATAATTTTTAAAAATAATATTTTATCATGTTCAATAATAGTCTTTGTTTTTATTTTGAAAGATACAATTTATACTTGAATTTTAAAACTAAAATTAATTAATTAATCAATTTTGTGATTTTAAATGCATAAATTGAAATTTCAATCTGTTGTTAAAGAATTCATAAATTTGTGGATAATAATTTATTTTAATTGTTAACTATTAAATTAATCACACATACTAACATCAAATGATTTCTTAAATACAAATGCTATATTAAATTTGGTAACCATTCATTCTTTAAATGTCAATATAAAAATTAAACTTTAATTTAATGATTAGATAACAACTGTAAGATAATTAAATGCTTATTCCAAAGAATATAAAATTTTTGTTTTTTGGAAATTTATAATCTATTTATATTCTGAAAAATGTTTTATTCTATTACCTCAATATTTTAAACATTACATTAAATATCTTATTATTTTATATAACAATTATCAACTTTAATGAAAAAAAAATAGGAATATTTAGGCTAATTAAATACCAAAGACTGTGTAAACCAAAATTAAGTTTTTATATTTTTTAATATTATTATTTAAACTGATCTGATAGTTTCTAATTACAAATTCAAATTGTAAAATTATCTATTTTATTTGGTATTTATTACATTATTATACTTAATTTATTTTTGTAATTTAATTCATAAATTAGAAGTATTAAGCAATCCTAACTATAAAAGCAAACATTCATTATTTCTTGATTTTAAATGTAGAGTGCATTTGGCTGAAATTTTATTATCAAAATATAAAAATAAAATAAATATAAATTAAATTACTTAAAAAAAAAACAAGATGAGAAAAATTGCTACAGTTCTAATTCTTATTTCTATTGCTTTGTCCACAGTAAGTGCCACAAAGTGTGTAGATGACATTACAAGTTCTATAAAAAACGGAACAGTTTGTTAAAATAGTGATACTGCATGCTAGACTGCATTAAATACTTTCCTTACATGTTTTACTAACTGTTACTAAACTACTAGCAATGACTCTGCTTTTGATAGTTGTGTAAAGAGCAATTGTAGTAATATTACTAATGATACAGTTAAGGGTCTTTACAATAAAATGCTAGCCTGTTTTGATAGTGTGCTTATATTCTCAGCTCTCTTTGTTTTATTTGCCTTGTTATTCTGATAATATTAGTTAGCATCACTAAATATTTGAATGAATTCGTTAAAATGAGTTGAGTTATGGTTTTTTAACAATTTTTATGTTGTCTGTGTGAGACTGTTTTTTAATACTATTAAGTATTCATTCTGATTATAAATCAAATTATTTTAGATCAATTTTCATAAATATTAGCTCAATAAATTGTTATTCATACATAAGCTTACTAAAACATAATATATATATTATAGTAATAGAGGATTAAATTCTTTTTTTATAAAGCAAAGTATTCATTAATATGCAAATATCAAAATTTTATCTTAATTATTTATTCAATTAATAATCAAATTTTAAAGTTAAAATTTTTGTATTATATATTATTATAATAATCACTTATTTATAATCAAAGGGCATATATAGTATAAAATATCATAAATTTTGCTTTTTACAATAAATTTTAAGACTATTAATATGAATATTTAAATTCTTTATAAATTATGTTTCATTAATTTATCTGTTAATAATAATTCATATTTATTTTCTAAATGATAATAATTTTAAAGAGATGAATTAATTTATTTGTTCTTAGAATTTTACATTTGTAAAAAATTCTAATCTTTGATGTAATTATTATTCAGTAGATTTAAGTATTTAAGATGTAAAAATGAATCTCAAATCCCTTATTATATGAAAAATATAATTATTTAAATAATAAAAAATAGAGGTTTTAATTCTCACGATATTATATAAAATTCTAAAAGGGATCAAGTTTTCTTTAGTATAGTTTGATAATTTGTTTACAATCCTAATTAATAAATTTAACACTGTTTACTTTGAAGTTTATTAATATTTTTATTTGAAAATATTTAATATGGCTAATATTGATGTAAATTCATTATTATTTTATTATTTTTATATGTGATAACAACCTTAATTATATCAGACAGTTGATTTTTTCTTTAATAAAAGCACAGTTTAAATAATCCGATCTAATTTTTCTAATATATGTCCATTGCATATTTAGTTAATATTATAGATAAAATTAATTTTAGAAACTAATAAGCTCTATTAATCTTGTAGGATCTAATTCTCTTCGATCTTTCTTATAAAATATTATTTTAAAAGAATTTTATTCTTCTAAAATCATCTAATTCTAAAAATTTCATGTATTATTTTTAAACAAGAACATTTTACTGATATCTATCTGCTTTTTTCTTTTAATAAGGCAGATGAGGCTTGATTAGAATTTTAAATAAAGTTAAAGAATAACTCTAGTAGTTAGATTTTTTTAAGTTGTTATAGTTGTTTTTATTTCACAGTTTATAGATGAAAATTTTTAATTTATTTTATCTAGTTTATTTAATAGAACATAATTTAGAAAGCTTTTTACTTACCCTAAAGAAATTTATTGAGCTGCTTTATATCTGAAATTAAAATTTGTTTTTAATTATGGATGTATATATAATCTCTAAAATAATAAAGTAAATAAAAGGAAATATTTGAAGAAACAATATTTTTATTTTAACTATTTAGGCTAATATCTTAACACTTTTGACCTTTTACAATATAAAATAATTTTAATATTTCATTGAACCAGTATATTTAAAATATATTATTCTTAAAAAAAGAGCTGTAAGTTTTTAAGTTTAATAAAGCTTAATACAAAAAAAATCTAGTGGCTTGGATATCGCTAGGGAAAAAAGCACCCATTTTCAAAAATCATAAAAAATATAACTAATTACTAGAAAACCGGGTAATTAACTATTGGGATAAATATTATTGAAATAGAAGATAGACTTTTCAAAAATGTTTTGACTTCTATTTCCTTACTTGATTAATTAGATATTTTATTTCAAATTTATGAATAATCTATATCTTTAATAGTATCCAGAAAAATAACATGAAAAGCAAATTTGTTTATTTAATAAATATTTTCATCTTTTTATTTAAAAAAAAAATGACCTATAAACTAAAAAAATATTTAAAATGGAGGAAAATATAAACTTTCAAAAATAATATTTTTTCATGATTGATTAATAAAGTCTTTGTTTTTTATTTCGAAATATATATTTGCAATCATTTTAACTTGAATTTTATTACTATAACAAATTAATTAATTTATTAATTTTCTAGATTTAAATTGGTAAATGTAAATTTCAATCCATTACTAAAGAATTCATAAATTTGTGGATGATAATCAAATTATTTCCTTATTAAATTTGTAACCATTAATTTTTTAAACTCTAATATAGAAATTAAATATTAATTTGATTATTAGATAACAACTGTAACAAAGGTAAAAACTGCAAGATAATTTGATATTTATTACAAATAAAATAAAATGTTTGTTTTAAAATTTTGAAAAATGAGTGTCAAAAATACCCCTATGGGCTAGACTTCTTATTTTACCATATATGATTGTTACACTCTTTTGTATATTTAATAGACTATTGTAATTTAATTCTTAAATTTGATATAGAAAGCAAACTAATTTAAAATATTTAATATAAAAATAAAAATCATGAACTATCTATCTCTCAGTTATAAATTTAGAATGCATTTTGCTTAAATATTATAATTAAAATATTAAAATATAAATTAAATAAATTACTTAAAAAAAACAAGATGAGAAAAATTGCTTCAATTCTAATTCTTATTTCTATTACTTTATTCACAGTAAGAGCTTCATAGTGTTCAGAAGACATTATGAATTAGATAAATAATGGAACAGTTTGTTAAAGTTCTGATAATGCTTGCAAAACTGCATTAGATACTTTCATTAAATGTGTGTAAGACTGTAGCAAAGATATGAGCTCAAACTCTGTTATTAAAATTTGCTCATAGGTAAATTGCAGCAATATTAGTAATGATACTGTGAAGGCTCTTTACAACAAAATGGTTGCCTGTTTTGATAGTGTGCTTATATTCTCAGCCCTCTTTGTTTTAGTCGCATTGTTATTCTGATAATTTTAACATCACTAAATATTTGAATAAATGAATTAATTAAAATGAATGAGTTATTTATGGTTTTGTCACAATTTTATGTTGTTTGTGTGAGACTGTTTGTTTTTTAATTCTAAGCATTTATTCTGAATATAAATCAAATTATTTTAGATTAATTTTCATAAATATTAAATAGCCCAATCATGTTATGCATGAACTTACTTAATCAAACATAATAAATATATATATCATAGAGATAGAGGATTAAATTCTTTTTTACAATGTAGAGTATTCATTAATATGTAAATAATTTATAATCAAAATATCTTCATAAATTATAAACACTCATGATAGAATAATTAATTATCTATCATTTTTAAAATTAGTAACTTTCAAAGTTCTAATTAAGATTGGAAGCATATTTTTATTACTTTAAACTGTAAGAATTTCAAGTAATATATTTCTTTTTTTAATTACATATAAATTTAAAACAAAAAATACAAAAATATTTAGTCTTCCATTATTAATTTATCTTTTTGTAATCTAAATAAACAATCTAAGTATTTTTATAATATTTTCTCTTTGTAATTAATTGATTCATTTTTTTCAATTTGATTTGATTTCTTCGAAACTAAATGAACAGCAACAATATTTTCATAAAAGAAGGAAATAATTTAAACTCCTTGAGTAAACAAGAAATATTGCTTTTTTTATTTTTCTTACAATTTAAATAACTTTAATACTCTCTATCATTTTTACATCATAAAATGTTTATTTATGAATGATTATCAACTACCTTAGTAAATAATAACAAATAAAATATAGTACATCTATCTGTTTGTTATCAAATAATAAATTATTACTTATAATTCAGATTATTAATATTATCATTCATTATATTATGCATGATTTTTAAAATATTTTTATTAGTAATTAATTAAATTATTTGCCTTATATGAATAATATTTGCTTTTAACAAAGGAATAAAGTTCACATATAAATTTATATGTAAATAAATACCAATAATAGTTAGTTTTTAAAGACATACTTACTTACTTTTATTACTTGTAAAATTTATTACTTTAGTGAATTAATAATTACTATTTTAAATAGCTATTGAAATACTTTTTAGTAAATCTATTCTTGGATAATTATTTCTTGAGTAAGAGGTATGTATACATTTAATTTTTTCTTTTAATGATCCAGATAAAGTTTGATTAGAATTTTAAATAAAATTAAAGAGTAACTAACTAAAGTAGTTAGTTTTTTAAGTTGTTGTTATTATTTTTGGATCCCAGTTTTTCAATGAAAATTTTTAATTTATTTTATCTAGTTTATTAAATAATACTTAATTTAGTAAATAAACTTTTTACTTACCCTAAAGAAATTGTAAAGCTGCTATAAACCTCAAACTAAAATATTTTTTTAATTATAGATATGTAATCTCTAAAATAACTAAAGCAAATTATAGCAAATATTTGAAGAAACCATATTTTTCTTTATTTAAAGTATTTAGGATAATATCTTAAAGCTTTTGACCTATTACAAAAAAAAATATTTTTAATTCTTCTTTGAAATACTAGATTTAAAATTAAATTGTTATTAAAAAAATAGCTAAAAGCTTTTAAATTTAATATAGCTGAATACCAAAAAAGTCTAGTGACTTGGATATCAATAGCAAAAAAAGCACTCATTTATTTTCAAAAATCATAAAATATATATAAAATCAATTAATAATTATATCTCTAATTTCATACTTTAATTAAAGGAAAGAAAAAAAAAAATTTAATTAGTCAGTATCATTTTTTTATAATGCTTAAATTAAAATATGATTCAGAAATTTCTGAATAAAAATTATAAATATATAAATAAACATAGATAATTATCTAAGAAAGAGAAGATAAAACAAAATATCATAAAAAAAACAGTAAAAGAGTGATTAGTTTTTATTTTTATTATAAGAGAAAGCTATAAAACAAACCAAACCAATAAATAATAACTAAAAACTAAACCTTAGAAGCTCTCAAAATTAAAATTTATTTGTATCAGATGATTAAGATACTTAGATTTTACTAACCTACTAAAAAGCAGATATTTATTTAGTGTTTATGATGAAGTTTTTACAAAAAATAAATTTAAAAAATGATATTTTTAAAACAATATTTATTTATTCTACTTCACTGTATTTTTAAAGTTAATGTACTTTTGATTTACTTTAGGAAAATTTAAAAAAGTACAGCAGAAGAAAGAAGAAATGAGAAGAAATTATAAAGTAAAAAAAAGCCGATTTTATAAAAATAAACAAAAATTTAAATATCTAAATAATTATTTAGCTCTTGTTTTTTCTTTTCATAACTTATTTTTAATGATTATAAAGTGACTATTAAAAATAAATTCTACTTTCGCTTCATATATGATGATAGAAAAGATAAAATTAATTCTGCCAGAGAGCTATAATGAGGTAGACTCCAATCTACTTACTTAATTTTCGCTCAAAATCAAAAATTTTATTCTATTAATATTCAATAAATATTTAAGTGCAAATAAAAAATTCTAAAATAATTTATTTGTTAAATTTAAATTATTCTAGTTAAAAGCAATAAACACTTGAAAATGGTTTTTGTGTTTTAAATAAATACTTATATTATTCTTTAATAATTATTAATAAACAATAGAAACATTATCTTTTAATAACCTAAAAATCATAAAATAAATTTATTATGTTAGATTTTCAATATAAAATAAATAAAAAATACCATAATAAAGAATAAAATAAATATTTTATTTGAGTGAAGAGTTTATATTTTTGAATAAGTCAAATAAAACATAAAGTTAATTTGTACAGCATTTTTTCAATTCCCTTGTACATTAATTAAATCTCTATTGAAACTTAATTTAAGGTTATCTCTAAAAAATTTTTTATAGTAATCAAACATAATCTAATACTGTTTATTTTGTTAAATTATAAAAATGATTAACTACTATTAATAATTGAATAAATAACTTCATAAATAATCAGCTCTAAACCACCCATAATAAATACAATCAGATTAATTATTGAAATTAACATTTTCGAAATAGAAGGTATGCTTTTTGAAAATTGTTTCACATCTATTTGATTAAATAGATATTTTATTGAGAATTTATGAATAATGTATGTTACTAATAGTATCCAAATTTATCAGATAAATTATTTGAAAAGCAAATTTTATTATTTAATAGATATCTATTTTACCTTTTTATATTAAAATACATTAAAAAATGACCTAAAGAACTAATAAATATTTAAAATAGAGGAAAATATCATTTTATTTTACTTTTAAAAAAAATATTTTTTCATGTTAAATTAATTAAATAAATCTTTGTTTTTATTACAAAAGATATTTTTACAATAATCTAATTAAATTTGGATTTTAATACTTCAATTAATTAATTTTGTAATTTTAAATAAGTAAATTGAAATCTGAATCTAATATTAAAGGATTCATATATTTTTGGATGACAATTTTATTTTTAACCATCATATTGATAGAAAGGCATATTAACTACGCATTATTTCCTTAATAAATTTTGTAACCATTAATTTTTAAAGCAGAAGTATAAAATTAAACTTTAATTTATTATTAGATAACAACTGTAAGATAATCAATCAGTGATTCTAGAATTTTAGAATATTAGAGATTTTAGAATTTTGAAAAATCCATTGATATTTTTATAAAAATATTATTCTTATTACCTCAAGATTATAAAATATACATTAAATATCGTATCATTCTACTTGAAAATTTATAGCTTTAATGATAATAAAATAGAGTTACAGTTTAAAAAGATTTGTCTATTTACATATATTTAAAATATAGTAACATCATATTTAGGTAAATTAAGTAGTAATAATTTATTTATGTAAACTAAGCTAAATGTTAAGTTAAACTTTTATATTTTTTAATATTAATATAAATATGATCTGATTATTTCTAATTAAAAATTCAAATTGAATAAATTGCAGCAATATTAGTAATGAAATTGTTAAGGGTTTTTACAATAAAATTATGGCCTGTTTTGATAGTGTGCTTATATTCTCTTCCCTCTTAGTTTTAGTTGCATTGTTATTCTGATGATTTTAACATCACACTAATATTTGAATAATTTAATTAAAATGAATTGAGTTATGGTTTTGTCACAATTTATTTTTATGTTGTTTGTGTATGAAAGTTTTTTAATTCTAAGCATTTATTCTAATTATAAATCAAATTATTTTAGATTAATTTTCATAAATAATAGCTCAATCAATTGTTATATATAAACTTACTTTAACAAAATATATTATAGAGATTAACGATTAAATTCTTTTTTACAACGTAGAGTATTCATTAAGCGATTAAAAATTTATTATCAAAATATATTCATAAATTAAATATAAGCATGATAGAATAATTATAGATAGTTTTTAAAATTAGTAATTTTCAAAGTTCTAACTAAGGTTGGAAGAAATAATCCAAAAATATATTGTCTATCTACTATTATTAATTTATCATTTTGTAATCTAAATAAACAACTTAATTATTTTTTTTTTATTTTTGCTTTGTTATTGATTCATTTTTTTCAATTTGAATTGAATTCTTTGAAATTAAAATTAATAGCAAGAATATAATAATAAATGAAGAGAATTATATGAAATTCCCAAAGTAAATAAGATATATTGCTTTATTTTATTTTTCTTACATTTTAAATAACTTTAATACTCTCAATTGTTCTAATATCTTCGAATATTTATTAAGAGTATCAACTACCATTATATTTAATAACTAATAAAATATAGTACATCTGTTTGTTATCAAATAATGATATATTCCTTATAATTCAGATTATTAATATTATTATACAATATTTTATGGATGTCTTTTTAAGTTTGTTATTATTAATGAATTAATTTACATTTATGAATAATATTTGCTTTTAACAAAAGAATAAAAATTCATATATAAATTCATGTGTAAATAAATAACACTAAAACTTATAAAAGAAGTAGTTTTATTATTTATAAAATTACTTTAACCAATTAATATCTTCTATTTTAAATGCTGTTGGAGTACTCTTTAGTTAATACATCAATTTTTAACTTTAGATAAATATATAAAAAAGATTAGTCATTAATTTATTTCAAAGACCTCTTCTAACAGAAGTTAATTTTAGGATACAATTTAATAAAAAAGCAATTTGAGATTTACAATCACTTTTTTTACTAAATTATTAATTTTCTAATTTCATAATCAATGAAAAAGTTTCTTGAAACTGTGGAGATAAATTATTAATATGAAACTAATTATACCTTAAAATAAACTTAAATTATTGGTTAAATGCAAGCCCATTGCATAAAATTAATATACTGTAGATTCTCCAATATTAGTACCCACTTTTTGAAAATTTTTTGTTTGAATTAATTAGCACTTTGTAAAACTAAAAAATTTTTTCCCCACTAAATTTAAGTTGAGGTAGGTACTTATCGAGGTTTTAAAGTAAAAAATGATAGTTTTACTCTAAAAAAAATAATTACTTAACCAAGATAATGGAAGCAAACACATAAACCTGCTTTGGTTAAATATATAAAGAGAATAAATTTTAGTCTATCAAATGTCTTTTATTTAATGATATAACTTAAAAATATGCTAAAAATAAAAATTTTTGATATGTGTGTATAATAATAAATGATATTTAGCAATAAATTATATTAAAAATATCATCTATATTCATTTTTCGCTTGCAAATCTAATTCAAAGTAATATTCCTTTTCAATAATATTTTTAAGGAAATTATTAAGTAAGTAAGTAATAAAAGGAGCATAACTTTTAATAGTAGAATTTATATCTAATTAAATTTTATAATTTATTATTATTTTTGTTATTGAACTTTTTTTAGCTTTAAAACAAAATGGAACTTATAATTTATTTTGTTTGTTGATAAAATTCTTATATTATTTTCAATGAGTTTTGCTTCTGTATTTAAACAAATATATATTTACAATTAAAATATAAAAAATAAATCCAACCAAAAATGTAGATTAAATTTATTTGCAATTTCTAAATTTTAAAATAACATATATTTTCATGATTAAGAAATTATCTAATTTTTATTATTATTATCTGATAATATTATTTTAATCATGTATGAACTAATATCTAAAAATTTAAAAATTGAATAGCTTTGCTTTTAAAAATAAGCTAAATAATTATCTTATTATGTAATAATTTGATTGAAGATATTTTGCAAATTATTTTTATATCTCTTTGTAACTTTTTTTGGATAATAAAAAGATAATTAGGTAAAAAGCAGACATAAATTTGCAATATTAATTGAGCTTACAGTGATATATTTTTAATTATCAAATAAAAATCCAAATTTGATTAATGAATCATCATTAGTTTCTAATCTTAATGACTATTACCATAAAATATTAATAAACGAAAAAATATTAAATTAATGCGCTTAAACTTAATAGTTAGAACTAATGATAATAATAATTAATTTTTATTAGTATTTCTGATCGACAATACGAAATATATTTTTTACCGCTATTATTTAAAAAGTGATATTTTGAAACTTTTTTCTATCCCAACAAAAAAATGTTTTAAAATTTTTATTTTACACCATAAAGTAAACAATGTATTTTGAAAAAAAATTTAAAATAAATAGAATAAATTAGCTTGAAAATCAAAAGAATTGCATGCATTTAGAAGTCAAATTTGTTATCTAAAGATATTTATTTGTTTTTTTGTCAAAAATTTCAAATTTTGGAAATAGATTGATAATTCTTTTCTAAATGAATTTGATTTACTCGAATTTAAAGATATTTTGTAACCGCATAAAATTCACAAACAAAGATTGTTCAAATTGACCAAATCTTATTGCGTTTAGAAAATCTTACTTATGGTTAGTAAAATGGATTATTTTTGAAATGATTTTAAAAAAATCACTTAAGTGAAATTATAACTAATAAAACTATGTATGATTTTATGAGAAGTTATTTTGTTTGAAAATATTTTTTAGAGAGATTTAGAGATAAATATAATGACCCTTTTAATATGAAATATATGCTTTTTGAATAGAAAAAGAAACATCTAATGATTATTATTTTTAGAAGATTAATGCTTCTATTTTGATTAATTTTCTTTAGTGAGAAAGATTATTATGCTTTTATTACAATCAAATCAATCTAAATACACAAATCACTAAATTTTATAATATCTCTAATTTTTCTTTATCTCAATCAATTAGTTTCAAAATAATTTTAAAGTGATTAAAGAAATAATTTTTTTTTGGTATAACATTATCGCTATTTTAATTATCCTTTTTTTGCTTTTCTTACTATAATTAACTCTGTTTATTTTGTTATAATATAAAAATGATTACCTAAAACGATAGATTATTGAGTTGAATAACTTCTTAAATAATCAGCAGCTCTATCTAAATCATGCATGAAAAAATACAATTAGATTTACTACTGGGAGTAATATTTTTGAAATAAAAGATACACTTTTCGAAAATCGTTTCACTTCTATTTCCTTACTTGATTAATTAGATATTTATTTTCGAATTTATGAATAGTCTATGTTACTACATCATCCAAATTCATCAGATAAATTACATGAAAAGCAAATTTGATTATTTAATACAAATAATTTTCACCCTTTTTTTTAAACACATAAAAAATGACCTAAAATATGAAAAAAATATATAAAATAGAGGAATATATAAATTTATATCACTTTAAAAAATAATATTTTATCATTTTCAATTTATAGTCTTTATTTTTTTTCGAAAGATAGATAGATATACTTGAAATCGTTTAAACTTGAATTTGAAAACTAAAATTAATAAATTAATTTTGTGATTTTAAATACATAAATTGAATTTTCAATCCATCCTTACATAATCCATACATAAATTGGTGGATTATAATCTAATTTAATTGTTAACCATAATATTAATTACACATACTAACTTCAAATTATTTCTTAAATACATATGCTTTATTAAATTTCGTAACCATTAATTTTTTAAACATCAATATTAAACTTTAATTTAATAATTAGATAACAACTGTAAGATCATTAGAGGTTTATTACAAAAAGAATAAAATTTTTCTTTTTTGGAAATTTTTTAATCCATTGATATTCTTAAAAAAGTTTTATTCTATTACCTCAATATTTTAAACAATACATTAAATATCTTATTACTTTATTTAGCAATTTATAACTTTAATGATAATAAAATAGGATTTAGAGTTTAAAAACACTTTTCTTTTTACATATACCTAAAAAAAGCAAGATCATATTAAGTCTATTAAATACCAATTATTGTGTAAACTAAAGTTAAGTTTTTAATATTTTTTAATATTAATATTTAATCTGATCTGATCGTTTCTAATTACAAACTCAAATTGTATAATTATCTATTTTATTTAATGTTTATCACATTTATATATTTAATATATTTTTTGTAACTTCATTCATAATTTGGAAATAGTAAGCTATCGAAACTGGAAACATTCTTTTGCAACAAAAAATTTACTTCATCTGAATTATATATATTAGAGTGCATTTTGATGAAATTTTATAATCAAAATATTAAAAATAAAATAAATATAAATTAATTACTTAAAATAAAAAAAACAAGATGAGAAAAATTGCTTCAGTCCTAATTCTTATTTCTATTGCTTTGTCCGCAGTAAGTGCCTCAAAGTGTGTAGATGACCTTACTACTTAGATTAAAAATGGAACAATTTGTTAAAATACTGATGCTGCTTGCAATACTGCTTTAGCTACTCTCTTTACATGTATGGGTACCTGTGGCTAAAATAATAGCTCTGACTCTGCTATTGGAAATTGTGTAAAGACCAATTGCAGTAATATTAATAATGATACTGTTAAGGCTTTTTACAACAAAATTTTGGCCTGTTTTGATAGTGTGCTTATATTCTCAGCCCTCTTTGTTTTACTTGCCTTGTTATTCTGATGATTTTAGTTAGCATACATCACTAAATATTTGAATGAATTAATTAAAATGAATTGAGTTATGGTTTTGTAACAATTTTTATGTTGTTTGTGAGAGACTGTTTTTTAATTCTATTAAACATTCATTCTAATTATAAATCAATTAATTTATTTTAGCTTAACTTTCTTAAATATTAGCTCAATTAATTTTTATAAATACATAAGCTTACTAAAACATAATATATACCATATAGATAGAAAATTAAATTCTTTTTTATAAAGCAAAGTATTCATTAATAGGTAAAGAATTTAATCCAAAATAAAAAAGGCACTTAAAAAATAAATAACTCTCTCTATATATAAATATCCTCATAAATTGTATATATCCCTAATAGAATAATTATTTATCTTAGTCAATATTAGTAACTTTTAAAGTTTTAAGTAAGATCGGAAGCATAATTTTATTACTTTTAGCTGTAAGAATTTGTGAGTAATATATTTCTTTTTATAATTATATATAAATTTTAAAAAAAATTAATTCTCTACACTTATTAATTTGTCTTTTTGCAAACAAAATAAATAACTTAAAATTTGTATAATATTTTCGCTTCTTTATTGATTAATTTTGTTAAATTTGTTTTGATTTCTTCGAAATTAAAAAGTACTTGTAATAGATAAAAGTTAATAAGAAGATAAAATTTGTATTATTATCTTGTTATTATCGTAAAATACTTTGTGGATGATTTTTAACCTATTTATTAGTTTTGAATTAATTAATTAAATTATTTACATTTTTGAATAATATTTTCTTTAAAAAGGAATAAAAGTTCCCAGATAGATTCATATGCAAATAAATACATTAAAACTAATAAAAGGCATACTTTTATTTTATAATCTTGAATATTAACATATGTCAAAAGGTATTAATTACAATTTATAAAACTGCTTGAGTGAAATTAATCTCTTTTTTATATTTTAAATATCTATTGAAATACTTTTTAGTTAATACATCAATTTTTAATTATAGATAAATAAATAAATATTAGTTATTAATTTAGCTTTCAAATATCTCTTCAAACAGAACAAACAGACGTTAATTTTAGAATATAATTTCTTTTAATAAACCATTATTAATTTTATGATTTCATAAATATCCATAAATAAAGAAATAGTCTTGAAATTGTATCAATAAATAAATAAATTATTTATATGAGACTAACTACTTACCCCTTAAAACCAAATTGAATTATATTCTTACTTTTAATTAAAATTTTACAAACCAAAAAAAAATAAATTTTTGTTACAAAAGTATAATTGAAATTCTTCTATTTGATATAATTTTTTTTAATTTATCTTTAGTGACCACACACATTGAATTAACTTACGTTTTTAACTATTTTCAAAATATAATTGACTAAGTTTTACATTTTACATAAAATAAATGTAGAATGCACTTAAACCTTCTTTATTTAGCTTAAGAAAAAAACTTGACTAATTTTAACTTAAAGTTCTTTTCAAGATAATAAATTATTATTTATCTTTTAAGGCTAAAAGAAAATTTATCAGATTAATCTTAATAAATAAACTTCTTTATTTTGAAAGATTAAGCATTTATTCATACTCTTACTTAATTGTTAAAATAATTTTTAATAAATGTTTTTCTTTAATCATGTTACAATAGCTCTATTCTCATCTTACATTGTCCAGTTTATTTAAATAATATAATTATTTTAATTTTACTAATGATATAAATAGCGATCAATCTTAAATGAAATTTTAGTTTAATTTGTAAGCTAGCAAGTATTCAAATTATGAAATAATGAAATTTAAAAATTTTAAATATATTCTTACCTTAAAAAATACTTATTTTATGTCTTTAATTAACTTAATTAGCTTTTTTATTAAAGACTCTGTTATAAGCATCTAAATTTATCAGGTTAATTTGTCTGTAAAGTAGATATAATTTAGTAGATAATTCTTATTTTTATATGAAATGAACTAATTTTATTTTTTATATCTCAAAATTGATGATAAATTATTTATTTATTTATTTTTAAATTCAAAAATATTTCTGCTTGCATAAATATTAAAATTTGAATTTTCAAATGAAAATAAAATTTGTAAATAAAAAAGATTTTACTTTAAATAAAAACAGACTGTAAAAGTTATTTAGACTGATACTGTATTTCTGAATCACAGTTTTTTAGTGAAAATTTTTAATTTATTTAATCTAGTTTATTAAATAAATAGCACTTAATAAAACAATTTATTATTTAACTAAAGAAATTTATTAGCTGGTATAAATCAACCTGCATTTAAAATTTATTTTACTTTTTGAAATACATAATTTCTAAAATTATAAAGTAAATTATAGCATTTATAAATATTTGAAGAAACAATTTTTGGTATCGATTGTACTATAATGAGCACGCTTATCGTTGAGATTGAATTTATTGTGAGAGTCTAGAGTTATTTGAGAGATTTTATAGCTTTTTACTATTGAAATTGGTCTTAGTTTTACTATGGTTTTAGTTGAAATCTATTGACTTGAAACATACATAGTAAAGTTAAAGGTTTTTCGTCTTTAATATTAAATCATCAATTTTTTCTGTAAAATTAGTTTTAAAATTGAATGTTTTTAACTGGATATTGATAGTAGAGGTGTTCAGCGGCATTCTATACTATAATCACTATTTTCGTAGTGTGTCAGTCTAAAGACAGAGAATATTAGGGGTATTTTCAGGGATTTAAAATTTCACTTGTCCATATTTTCTGTCATATTTATTTCTTTATTTTAAAAATTAATTGGATTCCCCTTTAAATTCTGCTAACAGCCAATGCCGAATAGTAAAATTTTAATTTGCAGAAACGAATGCTATTTATTTTTAGTTAAAAATCTTGTAGCTCGCAAATTTATTTATTAGCTAACTATTTATTGATAAAACTAGTAAAATGTGTCAAAGTTTTTGAAGAACCAGCTAAAGTATTAAAACAATGTTTATTATTTTATTAATTTTTTAATAGAAACTTTTCGAATACTTAAGATGAGTGATTTAGTTATAAAAAATTCATCACTTTGTCTTTTCACAAATGTAATTTAATTAATTAATCTATTTACATTTTTTAAAAATTTTTATTCTAACACATCAAGATTTTAAAATATATTATTCATAGCTAATTATTTAACAATTGATCGCTTTAATATTAAATAAATAAGATTTACAATTTAAAATATTTCTCTTTAACACAAAAGCAAAATAGATAGTGCAAGATCATATTTATTTTGGTAAATTAATACTAAAAATTTTATGTAAGCTAAAGTTAAGTTTTTAATATTTAATAATTGATCTGATCTGTTCTGATTATTTAATTAATCATCATTACATTTGTATTTAATAAAATTTTGTAAATTTACTCATAAATTAAAAATAGTAGCAATCATAACTGAAAAAAATTGACTTAATAATAAAAAAATTAAAACTTCTTTTGTTTAAATTTAGGGCATATTTACCTGAAACTTTATAATCAAAATATTAAAACAAAAACAAAATTAAATTACTTAAAAAAGATAAAAAACAAAATGAGAAAAATTGCTTCAATTCTAATTCTTATTTCTATAGCTTTGTACACAGCAAATGCCTCAAAGTGTTAAGATGACATTATGGCTTAGTTAACTAATGGAACAGTTTGTTAAAGTACTGATGATGCTTGCAAAACTGCATTAGCCTAATTCATTTCATGTGGAAATAACTGTGGTTAAAATAATACTTCTGATTCTGCTGTTGGAAATTGTGTAAAGTCAAATTGCAGCAATATAAGTAATGATACTGTTAAAGCTCTTTATAACAAAATGGTTGCCTGTTTTGATAGTGTTCTTTTGTTCTCAGCCCTCTTTGTCTTAATGGCATTGTTATTCTGATGATTTTAGTTCGCATCACTAAATTAGAAATACAAACTTTAAATTTAATATTTGAATGAATTAATTAAAATGAATTGAGTTATGGTTTTGTAACAATTTTTATGTGTTTTTATGAGACTGTTTTTTAATTCTACTAAGCATTTATTCATTCATTCATTTGATTATCAACCACATTTTTTTAGATTATTTTTCAAAAATATTAATTTAATGAATCGTTTGTTATGCATGAACTTACTTACTTAATTAAACATAATTAATATATGGTAAAGGAGAGGATTAAATATTTTTTACAAAATAATCTATTCATTAATAAGGTAAAGAATTTATAATAAAAATATCTTCATAAATTTTATAAGTGTGTGATAGAATAACTAACTATAAAATTAGTAACTTTTAAAGTTCTAACTAAAGATTGGAAGCATATTTTTATTACTATAAGCTGTAAGAATTTTCAAGTAATATATTTATTTTATTATTAATTACATATACATTTAAAACAATTATTTTGTCTACCGCTATTAACTTGTATTTTGCCATCTAAATAAATACAACTTCTATATTTTAGTAATATATATTTTTAATTTATTATTGATAAATTTTATTCAATCTGATTTTATTTCTTCGAAATTAAAAAGTATTTGTAATAGATTAAAGTCAATAAGAAGTTATTTAGTAAGTTAGTTAGTTATATTGCAAAAATACTTCAAAAAAAGAAGAAAATAATTTATTTTGTTAGTAAGTAACAAATAAATATAGCTTTATTCTTCTTACGCTTTAAATAACTCTAAATACTCACAATCATATTTATATCGCCAAACAATTATTAGTGATTATTAATGAGCTTTATATAAATTATAACATCAAGGTAGATTAAATCTTTTCAGATAATGATTAACTCCTTTGATTACGTATTTATTAATTTGTTATTATCACACAATATTTTGTGGTGAAAATTTTATTCCATTTTTGAAAGCAATTATTATTCAAAAAGAAAGTGTAAATAATTTAATTAGGTTAAAATATCATAGATAAATTAATATGTAAATAAATACCACTAAAACTTGTAAAAGCCATAATTTTATTTTATAAGCTTGAATATTAATGTATTGTAGAAAGTTATTATAATTTATAAAATTATTAATTGATCTCTTTGCTTTAAATGGTATTTGAGATACTTTTTAGTTTTGATAGGATACAATTAATTATTTTAAGACTTAACTTGAATTTCGCAATCACTTTTTTACAATTTAATAATTTTTTGGTTTCATAAATATCCTCAAATAAAAATTATCGAAACTCAAATTAACAATGCCTTGCCTTAAAACTAAATTCGATTGCTTTTAATTAAAATATTGCAAATCAAAATAATTAACTTTTGTTTCAAAAATGTAATTGATTTCTTCTATTTTGATATTATTTTTTGAGATTCAGCTTTAGGGGCCACAAACAAATTTTATAATATTTCTTTTTTTAAAAGTAGTGTTAAATTTATCTTTTAAAGTAGATTAAATATGGTAGTTATATAAAAAGACAGATCTTCATACATATAAATAAATATCATATTTGAAATAAAATAATTATTTATTTAATTTCTTTTATAATAATATGATTTAATCTACTTATTACTTGTTATGCGTTAGAGTATGATATATTATTATCCTCAATTACCCTTATTTAATATCTTTAATTGTTTTTCCCTTTATTAAAGAGCTTATAACATAAAAACAAATTTATCAGATTAATTTATATGAAAAATATAGATTATTTGATAGACAATTAATATTAATTTTTTTAATTATAAAACTTAAAAAAATAAGTTTACATAGTAAAAAAAGAGTTTATCTTTTTCTTAAAGAGAGCGGATGTATGTATGAACTAGTTTTATTTTATTATATTTCAAAATTTATAACTAAATATTTTTTTATAATTCATCTCTCCTGCTGTTATAAAAACCTGAGTTTTCAAATGAAAATTAAATTTGTAAATTTGTTTGTGGTTTTAATTTTATCTGTTAATCTTAATTTCATTAAAGATTAAAGATAATAGAAGGAAAAATTGATTATTTTTTCTCACAAAAATAACCACAAAAAAAAATATCAAAAATTTGTCTTAAGTTATTTATTCAATCAATAATCCAATTTTAAATCCATAATTTTTTTATTCAGATATTATTATTATTACAATCACTAATTTACAATATAGGAATCTAGGGGTATTTTTCGTATAAAAAGTTATAAAAATAGCTTTTACATACAATTTTAAGACTGTTAATATGAATATTTTAAATTATTCATGAATTAAGCTCATATCCTGTCTGAAAAACTTAAATTTGCCATATATTTTTAGAATTAAAATGAAAAAATAAAGTTTATTAGGTTTTGAGATTTATAAAAATATATCTGTTAAAGCTAAATTGAAGAAAATATTGATGTTTTTGTCTTAGCTTTTTATTGGTATAAGCACTATTGAATTCAAATAATTCTATTCATTTGTTATTTGTATACTTCTAACAATGTATCTGTTCAAAAGAAAATATATTGAATAAATTATTATTTATTTCTATACAAATTTTCTTTTACAATCTAAATCAATATCATATACCGTGGTTTCTGGTTAATTAAGGACTAACTCAATTCAAATTTTCAGTCCAGTTTTAGTCCCTAAAGGAGAGATTTATTGAAGAAATTTATATTTTTTTTTCTCCTTAATATAGAATGTTTAAGGTAAATAAATAAAAAATCTATTTCATAATAAGTGACATGCAAAACACGAAATATTAATAAGGAATCTTCCTATAGAATTACTTTTTTTTGATATTGATGATAATTTATAGAGTTATTATTAGTTCGAATTAAAAAATAAAAACAAATAAATTATTGAATTATTTAAGGAAGTAAATCAAGAATGTAGGAAATATCATTCATATATTCTATAAAATATATTAATTTTAATTTAATCAAAAAATATTAATATGAGATTTTAAAATGTAAAAATTTATAAGACTATGCTTGTTTTACTTTTTATAATAAATACTTTCTGATGTAAAATAATATTTTGTATTTATTTATATTCAGTCTGTCTTTGTTTTGAATTTTGTACAAATAAGTAATCCAAAAAAAAAATGTTTATACTAGATAAAAAGCTATTCATTAAAGAAAGAAATCTTTGTTAAAATTATTATCAAACAAACAAACAAATAACATAATTAAATAAAAATTAAGGTAAATATTATTTATTATTTTGAAGTAAGTTTAGAATTTTAAGTCTGTCTAATAATTTCTTAGTGAAAATTCTAATTTAACTTTTGTCTATTTTATATTTTATTGATTAATAATTAAATAAATTGAAAATAAAAACCTAATACTATAAATAAATACTTTCATTTTTGTGTAATTTTTTTAATTTATTTTATTGATTTAATTTCTAATTAATTTTAATATTATTAAAACGCTCTAATTATTTTATCAAATAATTATTATGGATATGTAAATAAACATCTTACAAAATAGCATGAAATTATATATAATACCGAAACATTTTAAAAAAGATTTAAAATCATTAGTTAGTTTATTTATTTATTTTATTTTAATAACTAAGGAATTTGCTTTTAAATTATATATTATACTGAATATATGTTAATAAACATGTTAAAAATAGAATTAAATTAGCTTGTTTATATATTTATCTATAATTAAAGAAATTTCTTGGTAATTAAAATAGATTAATACTGTAGAATTGGTAACTTAGTTTAAAAATTTTACTTAAGGTATTTAGTTTTATTTGAGAATTAAAATGTTTGGGTTTGAGTAAAATGTGTTATAAATTTAATTCAGTACGGATCTTAAAACAAATGATGCATAATTTTTAATTGAATTTTGTTTCTAAAAACTCCTTATCTAATTTATTTATTTTTCTTTTCTTTATTTCGAACTTCCAAAAATATAATTTTATCAATTTTGAATTTTTCTCTTCAAAATATAATTCAACGAGAAGAAAAAAATATTTAAAATTTAAATTTATTTTTTGTAAAAATCCTATTTTTTCTTTTCCTATTTACTATTCTAAAATATTATTTTTTCAATTTTTTGATACTTAATGTTAAAAAAATATATATCAAAATTATGTTAGCTTATTCATAAATTTATTATGATTCATGGTGTTTTTTTAAAAGGAATTTTGTTCTTTAAAAAAAATATAACATGATATATAAATTTAAGATTCTGTTAAAGTAGGTCAGTCAGCATTTTTAAAATATTGTAGCCTTACACAATTTAATGTAAAATAGTGTAAAGATTATTTATTTATTAATTTTTTACAGTTTGATTTTAAATTTTGCATCTAATAATTTCTTAATAAAATTTAAATTTAATTACTTTTCTATTCTATTTTTATATTTAAATACATGAGTTATAAAAGCTAACATTTGTTAGAAAATAAACAAATAATGTAATTGATAAAAATTTTTTAATTTAGAATTATTATAAGCATGCAACTACATACAAATTTAATTTTAGTTTAAATTGGCTGAAAATATGTATACATTACCTTAAAATATCATAAATAATTCAAATTATATAAATATAAACCCTTACAATAAAAAATGAGAAAAATTGCATCAGTCTTATTAATTGTTTCAATTACTTTACTATCAGTAAGTGCTTCTTCTAAATTTTAAGATGATATCACAAATACGATTATTTAAGGAACTGTTTGCAAATCTACAGACACTGACTGCAAAAATGCTTTAAATACTTTATTTAATTGTATTTTAAGTTGTGGTAATAATAATAATTCAGACTCAGAGGCAACCAAATGCATAAAAGCCAATTGCAGTAACATATCTAACACCTCTGTTAAAAATTTATACAATCAGATGATTACTTGCTTTAATAGTTTATTCATATTCTCATCTCTCTTTCTTTTGATTGCTTTACTATTTTGATTGCTTTAAAAATTATAAAAGTAATTTATGTTAATTTTTACAATGTATATATTAAAAATATTAGCATCAGTAAATGAATTAATTAATACAAAATATGTAAGTTTTTTCAGTACAAATGTATATTAATTAATTAGCAAAACTCAATAAAACTTATTAATGTATTTTCATGCATGCATGTATTGATTAAATCATAATTTAGATATTAACTTCTTAATTAACTTTTAAAGATTTTTTTTTCATTTAAAATTAAAAAATAAATCTTATCTATTAAGCTGTTACAAATTTAATTACTAAAAACAAACAATTAAAATCTATTTTTTAATTTTATGAAAAGAACAAATATTTATTAAAATCAATTCTTTATTTTTAAACAAACAAATCTAATTAATAAAGCATAATTTATTTAATTAATTAACAGAAAGAAGAAAATTATTTATTTTCTTTTATTACTTAAAAAAATGTAAAAATTTTAATAAGATTTTAAAAGTATTGATTATGGGTTAAATTTATTTAAACCTTAATTATATTATGAATTAATAGAATAAATAGATATATAGATAATTAATTAAATAATTCATTCATTTCTACGTTTACATTTTAATTTTTGAAAATTAATAAAAATATAATATATCTATATATGTGTTATAAAAATTGATAATCTAAGTATAATTTAAATTTAAGCTAACTTATCAAAATTTTAATTTCTTTAAAGAAAATATTAAATTATTTATTTAATCAATTTTACATAGAATTTAAATATTATAAATTTAATAATTAAGCATTTTTTTGAATTCATAAAGTAATACTTAGAAATGAAATCACATTTACTAATTATTTTAAATAAATTTAAACTTTTATTGGTATATTTTTTTGGAGCATCTATCAATTTTTGGTTAATCTTCTAAACACTAGGAAGATGGCAAATTTTGAAAGAATGTATCAATCTAACTATTTTATTCTTTGAATTCTTCTACTTTTTATTCTTATTTATTATAGATTAATAGCCTTTTGCTGATCATTTAAGTATTTTTAAAGTAGATATTAGTTGATAATGTTTCATTAATTTGTCTATTAATAATATCTTTTAAATTATCTATATTTTCTAAATGATAATAATTTTAAAGGGATTAATTTAGTTGTTCTTAGAAATTTACATTTGTAAAGAAATTCTAATCCTTACTACAATTATTATTTAATAGATTTAAGTCTTTAAAGATGTAAAAATGAATCTCAAATCCCTTATTAAATGAAAAATTTACTTAGTCTAATATTAAAAAATGTGAATAAATTACTTAGTTCTCATGATATTTGATAAAAAAGTTCTAAAAGGGGCCTAGCTTTCGAATAATTTGATAATTTACTTGCAATCCTAATTAATAAATGTAAGACTATTTGCTAGAATTTTATAAGTATTTGTATTTTAAAATATTTAGTATGGCTAGCATGTGATCTAAATTCATTACTATTTTATTATTATTATCTGCGATGGAAACCTTAATTACATCAGAAATCTCATTTTTTCCTTTAAAAAGTTCAGTTTAAATAGTCAGATTTAATTTTTCTAAATTATGTCCATCATACGCTTCTATATTATTATTAGTAATATTATTTTTAGAAACTAATGGGCTCTATTAATCTCTTGAAATGCTTGCTCTTCTCAATCTTTTTTGGAAAATATTATTTTAAACTAATTTTGATTCTTCAATTTCATCTAATTCTAATAATTTCATGCTTTACTTTTAGGTAACAATATTTGACTGATATTTACTTTATTCTTTTATTGATGCTGATAAGGTTTGAATAGAATTTTAAATGAAGTTAAAGATTAACTGCAGTAGTTAGTTTTTTGAAGTTGTTATAATTGTTTCTGAATCACAGTTTATATATATAAATTTTAAATTTATTTGATCTAACTTATTAAATAGAACTTAATTTAACTACTTTTTTAATTACCCTAAAGAAATCTATTAGCTGCTATCTATCTGCATTTAAAATTTATTATTCATTATGGAAATATAATCTCTAAAATTATAAAGTAAATTATAGCATTGATAAATATTTGAAGAGACAATATCTTTATTTTAACTGTTAAAGCTAATATCTTAAAGCTTTTGACCTATTTCAATATAAAATAATTATTTAATTTTCCTTTAAAATAGCTGATTTATAATTCAAGTTTAATATTGCTGAATTAAAATATTATGAACTATTGTAAAAAATATTTTTTTTGAATTAACAAAAATAAAGAAATAAATAAATACCAAAGCTTAAGCAAAACGAAAAAAAATTTTTCTCAAAATACTTTTTGATAGATTTTATACTCTTAATTTTTTAGTTATCTGATTCTTCATTAACGATAAGGCAACAATCATAATTAGTTTAATTTTAGTAAACAGTAATTTTTATCGAAAGAAACTTTTCCTTTTCTTCATCGTTTTTTTTATAAATTCCATTTAGAGTTATTTCTTTTTTATGGCAATATTCTTACTGTAAATCAAATTCTTTACTTGTTTATTATTGAGAAGTATTTTTATTTTACCTTTTTTCAATTTAATTTGCCTTTAAATGAAGAGAATATTGCTTAAAAATATTTATAATTGAATTTTCTAGATTATGTTTTTTTCTTTCATTAAAAGTTAATAAGCTTTATTGCTATATCTAATCTTTATATTCCTTAAAATGACTTTGTTATTAAGTGTCATCGAAGTTATCAACAATTACAGTCTATCTAGTAAATAATTTAAAATCATTTTCATTGTGTATTTTTAATACCTTACTAGCCTGATTATTAATTATACCAACTTTAAGCAAATCGTTTGATTTATCATACTATACTGTTATAATAGGAAAACTAATTCCATGTTAGACAATTTAAGACCATACTTTTTCATAATTTTTATATAGAAATATTTCTCTACGACTCTTCTATGTAAGATATAAAAAATATAGCAAAAAGAATTATATAGAGATAAAGCTGTACTTATCTCCATAAACTTATGATGACCAAAAAGTAAAATAATACCTATTTTTTTTTATTTATTTTAAATAATTATGTGATCATTTAATTACAATAAAAATCAAAACAATATTAGATTAATTGCTTGCTTGCTTTCATTATTTTAAAAACAAAAATATTAATAAGAAAATATTTAAATACATGAAAAAGGATCCAACCATAGATACTACTGTGAGTATAAAATTAGAACTTAAAAACTGTATGATGAGCTCATGAGTATAAGATATTGCTCCAAAATAAAAATAATCATATTTATCTTGATCAAGATTACTAATTCCCTTCATTATTTAGACACATAAAGCTATAGTACTAATTAAGTTAAATGCTGAAATCCATATGTTTAAATATCTAGGAAAATGAGTAGAGAGACAGTAAAAAGAAGTAAATGCAGGTATAGATGTTGATTTGTACATAAGATTTTTGAAATCTAGTTGAATTAGATTAATTAATTGAGTAGGTAAAATGATGATTACAAATAGGGCAATTAATAATCTAGTAAACTGCTTAATGTAGATCTCAACTTATGCTTTTTAAAATTTATCTTCCAATTCTTGATCGCTAAATTTCAAAGTAAACCTATTCATGTTTGTTTAATTATTTTATTTTTTATTAGAAATATATTAATTAATATGGCTATTTATTTTTCAAAACAAACTTCTACTTTTGTATAATATTTTCTTCTTGTAGAATTTATATTTCAAAAAAGTTTGTATAGAGTTACATAAGCTTTTTTTAAAAGTTGCCAAGGAAATTTAAACAGTTCATATAATAGCTATGTAATTAATATTGTATACTTTTATACTAGACTCTCTAATTAATAACATAAAATCATTTATTTTCAATATAAAAACAGTTATTACATCATTTAAAATTTGGTTAACTGGACTGCCTTTTATATTCAAAGAAATACTAATTGCTTTTACTAATTTATATATGGATTTTTTTATTTCAATTTAATTACTTTGTCTAAAAAAAAGAAAATTAATATTTAAAATACAAAATATATTTAGTTAATAAATTGAATATTTATTTTAAGAGTTAGTATTTATTTTAATTAATTTTTAAATAAGAAAATTTAAAGAATTAAATGGTAAAATGTTTTATTTTAAAATATTTATTTATAATTGAAAATAAATTATAATTTAGTTACCATCAATCCTTATTAATTAAGGTAATTATAACCTAATTTTCCTTAAACATTTTTACCAAAGAATTTTTTAATAATGCCAAAACAAAAAATTTACTAGGGGTTTCTAAGTAGCTGAAATGACCTATAAATAAATAATATCCATTAAAGAAAGAAATCTTTGTTAAAATTTTTATAAAACAAACAAACAAATTACACAATTAAATAAAAAGTAATGTAAATATTATTTATTATTTTGAAGTATGTTTAGCTGTAAAATTTTAAGTCTGTCTAATAATTTCTTATTGAAAATTCAAATTTAATTTTTGTCTATTTTATTGATTCGTAATTAAATAAATTCAAAATAATAACCTAATTGCACAAGTACAAATGCTTTCATTTTTATGTAATTTTTTTAATTTATTTTTATTGATTTAATTTCTAATTAATTTATATGTAACAAATAAATGAATAATATTAATAATTTATAAAAATTTTATCAATTTCGATTAATTAATTTATTAATAACCTTTTTGTTTTTAAATTATAAATTATCTCAATATATGTAAATAAACATGTTAAAAATAGAATTAAAATCATTAGTTAGTTTATTTATTTATTTTATTAAAGAATTAGCTTTTAAATTATATATTATATTCAATATATGTAAATAAATATGTTAAAAATAGAATTAAAATCATTAGCTAGTTGATTTATTTTAGTTTAATAACTAAAGAAATTTCTTGGTAATAAAAAATAGATTAATAAGATATAGTTTTTGTGTAGAGTTGATAACTTAGTTTAAAAATTTTATTTAAGGTATTTTTTTATTTGAGAATTTAAATTTTTGGGTTTGAAAAGTAAAAGGTGTTATAAATTTAATCAATATGGATCTTAAAATAAATGATACATAATTATTAATTGAATTTTGTTTCTAATAACTCCTTATTTAATTTATCTATTTTTGTTTTCTTTATTTCGAACTTCCAAAAACATAATCTTATCTATTAAGAATGTAATTAAATTAGAAGAAAAAAATATTTAAAAATTAAATTGATTTTTTTGATAAAATCCAACTTTTTCTTTTCCTGTTTACTATTTTAAAAAATTAGTTTTTTAATTTTTTGATACTTAATGTTAAAAAAAATGTATCAAAATTATGCTAGCTTATTCATCTAATTTTATGATTTAGGGGGTTTTTTTAAAAGGAATTTTGTTCTTTGAAAAAAATATAACATGAGTATATGTAAATTTAAGATTCTGTTAAAGTAGGTCAGTCAGCATTTTTAAAATCCTCATTTTATTTTAGAATTACACAATTAAATGTAAAATAGTGTAAATATTATTTATTTATCCTTTGAAGTTTGATTTTAGATTTTGCATCTTACAATTTCTTAACAAAATTTAAATTTAATTACTTTTCTATTCTATTGATTTGTAATAAATTACATAAGTTATAAAACTAACATTTGATACCAAATGATCATATCATTGATAAACAAATTTTAATTTAGAATTGTTATACGCATGCAATGACAAATTTAATTTTAGTTTAAATTGACTAAAAATATACCTTAAAATATCATAAATAATTAAAATAATCTAAAAAATAATAAAAATAAATAAAACTCTTACAAATAAAAAAATGAGAAAAATTGCTTCAGTCTTATTAATCGTTTCAATTACTTTACTATCAGTAAGTGCTACCTCTAAATGCTAAGATGATATCACAAATAAAATTACTAAAGGAACTGTTTGCCAGTCTACAGATACTGACTGCAAAAATGCTTTAGATACTTTATTTACTTGTATTTTAAATTGTGGTAATACTAATAGTTCAGATGCAGACGTGGTCAAATGTATGAAAGCCAATTGCAGTAACATATCTAACACCAATGTTAAAAATTTATACAATCAGATGATTAATTGCTTTAATAGTTTACTCATATTCTCAGCTCTCTTTGTTTTGATTGCTTTACTATTTTGATTGCTTTAAAAATTATAAAAGTAATTTATGCTAATTTATACAAAATATTTATTAAAAATATTAGCATCAATAAATGAATTAATTAAAACAAAATATTTAAGTTTTTCAGTGCAAATTTATATTAATTACTAACATTCAATAAAACTTGTAAAATTTTGTGTTTATACTTTTTATTTATTACTCATAAATTAAGTTCATCTCCTGTTTTGAAACTTTTAAATCAATCATATATTTTAATTGCATTAATTCAAAAAAGAAATAATATTATGTTTTTGTATTTTTAATAAATTGAAGAAATTCATATAAGCATCATTAAATTAAAATAATAAAATGATAAATTAATTTAGGTGATTATGTATATCATAAGAATGAAATTATTAAAATATATTTTTTATTAGAATAATTTAAAAATATATCTGATCAAAACTATTTTTAATTTAATTATTAATTTTTTTGATATAACTTTTCTCCATGTAATTTATCTTTAAAAAAAGTATTTAAATAAACATCTGATTATATTTACAAAATTATAATTGGAATTTTTTTTGTTTAGTCAGAATTTAAATATTATAAATTTTTTGAATTTATTAAGTAATACTTAGAAATGAAATCACATTTACTATTTATTTTAAATGAATTTAAATTTTTGCTCGTATATATTTTTGGAGCATCTGCCAATTTTTGGTTAATCGTCTAAACACTAGGAAGATGGCAAATTTTAAAAGAATTAATCAATCTAACTATTCTATTCTTTGAATTCTTCTACTTTTTATGAATATTTATTTTAGATTGATAACCTTTTGCTAATCATTTAAGTATTTTTAAAGTAGATATTAGTTGATTATGTTTCATTAATTTGTCTATTAATAATATCTTTTAATTAATCTATATTTTCTAAATGATAATAATTTTGAAGAGATTATTTTAGGTGTTCTTAAAAATTATCATTTGTAAAGAAATTCTGATCCTTACAACCATTATTATTTAGTAGATTTATGTCTTTAAAGATGTAAAAATGAATCTCAAATCCCTTATTAAATGAAAATTACACTTAGTTTAATACTAAAAAATGGAAATAAATTACTTAATTCTCATGATATTAGATAAAAAAATTCTAAAAGGGACCTATCTTTCGAATAATTTGATAATTTACTTGCAATCCTAATTAATAAATGTAACGCTATTTGCTTGAAGTTTATAAATATTTGTATTTTAAAGTATTCAATATGGCTAGTATGTGATCTAAATTCATTACTATTTTATTATTATTATCTGTGATGGAAACCTTAATTACATCAGAAATCTCATTTTTTCCTTTAAAAAGTTCAGTTTAAATAGTCAGATTTAATTTTTCTAAAATATGTCCATCGTATGTTTCAATACTGTTATTAACAGTATTAATTTTAGAAACTAATAGGCTCTATTAATCTCTTTGAATGCTAACTCTATTCAATCTTTTTGGGAAAATATTATTTTAAAAGAGTTTTGATTCTTCTAAATCATCTAAAACTAGTGATTTCATGCTTTACTTTTAGGCAACAGCATTTGACTGAAATTTACTTTATTCTTTTATTGGTGCTGATAAGGTTTGAATAGAATTTTAAATGAAGTTAAAGATTAACTGAAGTAATTAGTTTTTTGAAGTTGTTATAATTGTTTCTGAATCACAGTTTATATATATAAATTTTAAATTCATTTGATCTAACTTATTAAATAGAACTTAATTTAACCAGTTTTTTACCTATCCTAAAGAAATCTATTAGCTTCTATCTACTTGCATTTAAAATTTATTTTTCATTATGGAAATATAATCTCTAAAATTATAAAGTAAATTATAGCATTGATAAATATTTGAAGAAACAATATCTTTATTTTAAATATTTAGACTAATATCTTAAAGCTTTTGGCCTATTACAATATAAAATAATTTTAATATTTATTTTTATTTAGTTAAAAGCTGCTAAAAAAATTTATTTTTTTGAATTCTAAACAAACAAACAAACAAACAAAAATAAATAAATAAATAAATACCAAAACTCAAGCAAAAGGTAAAAAAATTATTCTCAAAATACTAATTGATGGATTTTATACTCTTGATTTTTTAGTTATCTGATTCTTCATTAACTACAAGGCAACAGTCATAGCTAGTTTGATTTTAGTAAACAGTAATTTTTATTGAAAGAAACTTTTCCTTTTCTTCATCGTTTTTTTTATAAATCCCATTTAGAGTTATTTCTTTTTTATGGCAATATTCTTGCTGTAAATCAAATTATTTACTTGTTTTTTATTGAGAAGTATTTATATTTTACCTATTTTCTTATTAGTTTGTCTTTAATTAATTAGTATATTGCTTAAAAATATTTATAATTGAATTTTCTAGATTTATTTTTTTTCTTTCATTAAAAGTTAATAAGTTCTCTAGTTAAAACTAATCCTTGTATTCCTTTATGTGACTTTGTTATTAAGTGTCATCGAAGTTATCAACAATTACAGTTTATCTAGTAAATAATTTAAAATCATTTTCATTGTGAATATTTAATACCTTACTAGCCTGGTTATTAATTATACCAACTTTAAGCGAATTATTTGTTTTATCATATTATACTGTTATAATAGGAAAGCTAATTCCATGTTAGACAATTTAAGACCATACTTTTTCATAATTTTTATATAGAAATATTTCTCTACGACTTTTCTATGTAAGATATAGAAAATATAGCAAAAAGAATTATATAGAGATAAAGCTGTACTTATCTCCGTAAACTTATGATGACCAAAAAGTAAAATAGTACCTATTATTTATTTATTTATTAATTAATTTATATTCAAACAATTATTTGTCCATTTAATTATAATAAAAATCAAAACAATTATTAATTTTAAATTAAATGTCTGCCTGTCTGCTTGCTTTCATTTTTAAAAATATAGCATATTTATAAGAAAATATTTAAATACATGAAAAAGGATCCGACCATAGATACTACTGTGAGTATAAAATTAGAACTTAAAAACTGTATGATGAGCTCATGAGTATAAGATATTGCTCCAAAATAAAAATAATCATATTTATCTATATCAAGATTATTGATTCCCTTCAATGTTTAAATGCATAAAGCTACTGTACTAACTAAGTTAAATGCTGAGATCCATAAGTTTAAATGTCTAGGAAAGCGAGTAGAGAGACAGTAAAAAGAAGTAAATGCGGGTATAGCTGTTGATTTGTACATAAGATTTTTGAAATCTAGACGAATTAGATTAATTAATTGAGTAGGTAAAATGATGATTACAAATAGAGCAATCAATAATCTAGTAAACTGTTTAATGTAGATTTCAACTTATGCTTTTTAAAATTTATCTTCCAATTCTTGATCGCTAAATTTCAAAGTAAACCTATTCATGTTTGTTTAATTATTTTATTTTTTATTAGAAATATATTAATTAATATGGCTATTTCAAAACTAACTTCTACTTTTGTATTATCTTATTTCTTGTAGAATTAATATTTCTGAAAAGTTTGTACATATATTTCTTAAACTTTTTTTTCAAGCTACCTAGGTAAATTAAACAAACATTCATATAATAGCTCTGTAATTAATAATGTTTTCTTTTATGCTTGATTCTCTAATTAGTAACATAAGGTCATTTATTTTCAATTAAAAAATAGTCATTACATTGTTTTGAATTTAGTTAGCTGTACTGTCCTTAAATTTCAACGAAATACTGATTGCTTTTAATAATTTTATATGAATTTGTTTGTTAAAAAATGAAATAAATTTCTTATTTTTTCAAATTATTTGAAAAATATTTTTTCAGTAAAAAAAGAAAATAAATAATTTTAACTTTTTTTAAAATGCAAAATATTATTATGGCTAAATATAAATCAATGAAAAATATTTATTTGAAGTCTTAGGATTTTAATGGATTCTTAAATCAGAAAATTTAGAGAATTAAATGATAAAATGATTAATATTAAAATAATTATTTTTTATTGAAAATAAATTATAATTTAGAACTTTCTATTAACCAACACTCATTAATTAAGTTAACCACAATCTTATCTATCTACTTTTCCCTAAAAAATTTGATAAAAAAATAAATCTTTTGCCCAAGAGATTAATGAGGATTTATACATAGTTTATTTATTTTATTCTATATTTGAATTAGTCAGTTTCTGTTGGCTTCAAATGATGGAATTCCATTTCTTAGATATTCTGAGAGATACCATATTTGGTTCTGTATTGCTTGCTGTATTGTGAGAGATTTTGTTAATACATTTCACTAGTTATGGTTCATACAGTATGAATAAAAAGCAATATATATAAAAATAATTGCATTTAAATTTATTTTTTAACAATTTTAAAAATTAAAACTTTATTAAATTCTTTAAAAAAATCATTTTTATATTTTTTAAAAACTATAGTAAATAATTTGTGAAAACTAATTTACTAAATAAATATTATAAAGTATATTTTTTAATTAACTGAGAAAAGTTAACCTAAGCATACATACATAAGATATAAAAGCGTTTTTAATAGTAAATAAAATGTATGTTTGTATTACTTTTTATAATAAATACTTTGAAATTTAAAATAATATTTTTTAATTATTTATTTTTATTCAGTGTTTGTTTTGAATTTTGATAAAATAAGTAATCAAAAAAATAATTTTTTACTCAATAAAGAAGTAAATATGTGTGTATGTATGTATGTATGTACTCATAAAAGAAATATTTGTTAAAATTGTTATCAAACAAAACAATTAAATAAAAAGTAAAGTAAGTAAATAATATTTATTATTTAGAATTTTAGTGGTTAAAATTTAAATCGATCTAATAATTTCTTAGTGAAAATTCAAATTTAATTTTTGTCTATTTTATTAATTTTTATTTAAATTGATTATAACAACCTGATTGCACAAATGCTTTAATTTTTGTGTAAGTTTTTTAATTTTCTTTTACTAGTTTAATTTCAAATTAATTTATATGTTCAAAATAGATGAATTATATTAATATGATAATAGTTAAGTGACTAAATGACTGACTGACTCACTACTTACTTATTGTGCTTATTTTACTTTTATTAAAAGGTTCTAATTATTTTATTAAATAATTTTAATGGATTGTATATTTAATTATATTATATAATTTACATAATTCAAAACAAGCAGTATTCATTCATTTATTTCTTAATTAAATTGTTACACTATTTATTTTTTATTTATGTTAAAATATTTTTTTAAATTGCAAAATATATATTCTTATTGAAAGTATTTTATTTTTATTTATTCATAGAAATTTTATCTATTTCAATTAATTTAGTAATTACCATTTTGCTTTTAAATTATATATTATCCTGAATATATTTAAATAAAAATGTTACAAAATATCAATAAAAATCATTTGTTAGTAAGTAAGTATATTTATTAATTTTACTTTAATAAATAAAGTTTTTGCTTTTAAATTATATTTTATACTGAATATATATAAATAAATATGTTAAAAAATAGAAATAAAATCATTATTATTAATTTTACTTTAATAAATAAAGAAAATTTGTGGTAATAAATAATAGATTAATTTTTTTTAGTTTTTGCCTAAAATTCAAAACTTAGTTTTAAAATTTTACTCAATGTATTTTTATTTAAGAATTTAACTTTTGGGTTTGAAAATAAAATACGTTGTCAATTTAATCAATATGCACCTTAAAATAAATGATGCGTAATTATTAATTGAATTTTTGTTTCTAATAACTCCTTTTTTAATTTATCTATTTTTGTATGATTATTTCGAACTTTCAAAAATATAATTTTATTAATTTAATCTATCTCTTTAGAATGAATGAATTTAATTTAATGAGAAGGAAAAAGAAATATTTAAAAATTAAATTTATTTTTTTTTAATAAAATCCTATTTTTTTTTGCTGTTTACATAGTTTAAAAAATTATTTTTTCATTTTTTTCATACTTAATGTTGAAAAAAAATATTTAAATTACACTAATTCATCTAATTTTATGATTTTTGGGGTTTTGTTTAAAGGAATTTTGTTCTTTGAGAAAAATATAAAGCATGAAAATATGTAAATTTAAGATTCTGTTAAAGTAGGTCAGTCAGCATTTTTAAATTCCTCATTTTATTTGAGCCTAACACAATTAAATGTAAAATAATGTAAAGATTATTTTTTGAAGTTTGATTTTAAATTTTGCATCAATTTATCTATCTCATAATTTCTTAATAAAATTTAAATTTAATTACTTTTCTATTTTATTCATTTTTTAGTAATTACAATAGCTAAAAACTTTTGTTACTAAATAAGCCATGCCATTGATAAACAATTTTTAATTTATAATTATTATACGCACGCAATGACAAATTTAATTTTAGTTTAAATTGGTTGAAAATATACCTTAAAATATCATAAATAATTAAAATAATCTAAAAAAAATAATAATAAAACCCTTTCAATAAAAAAATGAGAAAAATTGCATCAATCTTATTAATTGTTTCAATTACTTTACTATCAGTAAGTGCTTCCTCTAAATGTTCAGATGACATCAATAATAAGCTTAGTACAGGTACTATTTGTCAAGCTACAGACACTGACTGCAAAAATTCTTTAAATACTTTCATTACTTGTTTCGGAAATTGTGGTAATACTAGTAATACAGACTCAGACTTAGTCAAATGCGTAAAAACCAATTGCAGTAACATATCTAACGCCACTGTTAAAAGTTTTTACAATGAGATTATTACTTGCTTTAATAGTTTACTCATGTTCTCAGCTCTCTTTGTTTTGATTGCTTTACTATTTTGATTGCTTTAAAAATTAGAAAAGTAATTAATATATGTTAATTTACAATATATTAAAGATATTAACATCAGTAAATCAATTAATTAATATCAAATATCTAAGCTTTTTCAGAGCAAGTTTGTATTAATTACAAATATTTAATAAAATATTTTGTTAAATTTTGTATTTGCATGTATTGTTTGTTGATTAAATCATAATTTAGATATTAGCCTCTTAACTTTTAAAAATTTAATTTTTCATTTAAAATTTAATAATCCAATTAAGCTGTTGCAAATTTAATTACTAAAAACAAACAATTAAAATTATTTTTTTTAATTATTTATTTTTTCTATTATGTATAAAACAAACGAATATTAAAATTAATTATTTTTAAACAAAAAAAGTTCATTATTAAAATTAAAACATAATTTATTTAACAAACAAAATTATTTTCCTTATTTACTTAAAAAAAAAAGTGTAAAATTTTTATGAAGATTTTAAAATTTATTGGGTTAAAGTTATTTAAACCTTAATTATTTTATAAATGAATGAATGAATAAATAAATAGAATAGATAATTACTTAATTAAATAACTCATTTCTAAGTTATAATTAGAAAGTAATAAAAATATATATAAATCATGTATGTATGTCTGATAATCTAATTATATTTTAAATTTAATTAAACTTGATTTTCTCAATTTTTGATGTAATTTATAGATTGAAAAAGTAAAAATTAATTAATTAATTAAGTTAGGATTTTATTTAGTTTAAAAATATACAAATCACAAATAAAATAATTTTATTAAATTAAAAATATTCAAATCACAAATAAAATAATTTTATTAAATTAAAAATATTCAAACCTATTTTTTCAATTTTATCTTTTATAAAACCTCTATAAATATTTTAAACAAACAATCTGTTTCTCCAATTTTCATTTTTTGGTTAAGAATTTTTTTTGCATCATGAGATACTTTATTTTTTAAATACTATCATTTTTATATATTTTGATTTTAAGTTTGCTTATTGTCTTTCATTGATATTATTCAGAGTTTTAAAAAGTAAAAATTAATTAAGCAATTTTATATAAAGAGAATTTTTGGATTCTAATTATTTTTGAAATCGAAAGATCCCTAAATTGATATTTTATTAACCTGATTATAAATGAAATTTGAAGATTTTTATTATGCGAAATAAAGCATATTTTATTAAGGTATTTATTAAAAATATTATTTGCTTAAGTTTTCATTTTAATAAAAATCTCCATGAATATTTTTTAAAAATTAATCCTTTTCTCTAATTTTAAGTTGTTGAAAATATTTTTATTTGCATATTTATTTTTAGATATTTGGATTTAAAGAATGAATCAATTTCTCTTTATTTTTTTTAATCTAGAGATTAAAATACATAAGGGATTATATATATCTTAAATCTTAGAAAATTAGTTAGTTTTGAAATAGAAAAATTAATAGAATTAAAAATAAAACACATTAATTCTATTGAGTAAGGAATTCAACAATTTAATAAAGTAATAAGGAAATTTTAGCTAGGTTTAAATACTTCAAAATAATTAAAGAAAAATAATAATAATAATTAATTAATAAAAACAAATAAGATAGCGGAAAAGATATTAAAAATAGACTTAATAGCAAAAAAATGGAGTAGCCAAATAATTAGTTTAAAACTTGTTTAACTCACAAAAAAGAAATACTTTTTTTACAGATCAACAAGTTAAAGCAAATGGTAGGTGCTTGCAGTTCCTGTGTGACGTCTCTTAAACTCTCTGGAGAAGATTTAATTTAGGTGAGTGATGTATATGATTTTCTAGATAATGACAACTAAATTTTGAATGAATTTCCTAGCTTGTAAGACAAACAAATCCTTAATACCTATTAACTTGAATTCACTTCAGAGGATAAAATAATTCTCCTTTAAGAGCTAGCAAACTTTTTTGCAGATTTTAAGATTTAAATGACTAGCTTAATTGAAAGATAAGAGAAATCTGTTTTATAAAACATTGAATAAAAGTTTTAAGATAAAGTAGAACTTCTTAAAACTTATAATGAAGTTTGTTAAAAAGGTGAGTTTAAAGCATAATTCTTGAACTATATGACAAATAATTAAGATAATGGCATGAATTTAACAAATTTCATTACATCATTGAACAACAATTAATAAAATAATGCTTAGATTTTAAAAGATTAGCTAGAAGCCTTCTAAAAAACTAAAGCGATCTTGAATTAATAATTACCAATTCAGTAAAAACTAAAAAACTTCGCTTTTAGGCTTGTTGAAGATATTGGAAAGGCTTTTTTATTTGATTATAGGAGTGGTAATAATCAACAGTAAATATCAAGCATTTAATAAACCTTACATGATTAGTTTGAAGCCTATAGTGAGCTTTTTTAATAGTTTGCTTAAGGTTAAACTAAATAAATTGAAAATAATAAAGCAATTTTGTCATTTATAAAGTAAGATCCTTAACTATAATTTATGAAATTATAATAGAATATTCATCAATATGACATTGAATTGAATAATAATTTAAATGCAAATATTTCTAATAATCAAATTTCAATTGCCAAGCAAAATATTAATAAATTTAAAGAAAGTATTAATAAATAAGCAAATTGCTATCTTTACGAGTTGGTAAGTAAACTGTGTTAGTAAAATCAATTACCTTTAGGTTCTGTTAATCCTTAACTTCTTTAAAGCATAAAATCTGATTTTTACTATGCCTAAAAAGCACTTCCTTTCAATAACTATAAAATAGATTTAGATCCATAAGCAGTTTCTAAATTTTAATTTTTTAGTATTGAAGACTTTAAAGAAAAATAAAAATATTAAATGAAACTTTAGTTAATATTAGATAAAAGTATATAAAAATAATATCAATTCATTATTGGAGCTAAGGTGTACTATTAATCTTAAAAAGAAGCAAGACTTTTCTCTTAGAATTTTGAATTGTATTCCACGAATTCAACTGATATGACTAAAGATATTACTAAAATAAATGGTGAGAAGATCTTAAATTATGAATTCTAATTCCTTTTGAAAGATTAAGTACTTTATCTAAAAGATATGAAAAATCAAAAAACTTAAAAAAATTGTGAAATTGACTTAAGTCAACAAAATTTCTTATACATTGAAGTGTCAAGCATTAAATAAATAATAATTAATGAATTTAATAGAGGTTGAATTAAATTTAAGCTATAAAAATGTATTTATTTACTTATTTTTTATTGTAAAATAATTTTTTTAAAATATTTTTTTATGGTGATTAGACAGAGAGACTGTTTACATTCATTTAATAATTTTGAATGGGAATGTTTAAAAACATTTTTTCATTTATGATTAAATAGATGAGGGTTTTATTAATATTTGTGTTAAAAATGAAATTAATTAGACATCCATCTACAATTAGAGCTTTTAAAATTCATTTACTTTTTTTTAAATTTCTAACCTTACTACAATTTTTTTAAAAAATTTAAAATAGCCTCTGTCTTAATTAATTGGAGCATTGATAAATAAGAATATGAGTGATTTTAATTACTCAAACTTTTAAAAAGACTTATATTTTTAATAATATTTTCTTTATGTATAATTGCTTATTTTTTTTTCTTTTAATTTTACAAATGAAAAAAGATATTATTTCCTTGTCAGAAAATTGATAAAAATTATAATTTTTCAGATTTAATTTTTTTGTCTATCTTTTTTTAATTAGAATTGTTTACTCTTTATTATTTAAGCATAAATCCATTATATTTAAAAAACAAATGCTAAATATTTATTACTAAACTAACTATAAACAATAAATATAAATAAATAATCATAAATGGGTTAAATAATATTAAAAGCTCTATACTCTTTTTAAAGCTAAAAAGAAAAAAAAATATTGATGCTTGGAATTGATGATGCAGGCAAAACTACAATACTTTATTAACTAAAGCTAAACAAAGCCATATAGTTGATTCCAACTGTAGGGTTTACTGTTGAAAAAATTATATATAAAAACCTTGAGTTATAATTTTGGGATCTTTCTGGTAATGACTATTCAAGAAAATTTTTTTGGCATCATTACTATAAAAATAGCAACGCTTTGTTATTTGTAATAGATTCTTCTAATATTGAGAGATTTAGTGAAGCAAAATAAACTTTAAACATGTTATTAGAAAACCCTAATATACCAGATATCCCTATTTTAATCCTTGCAAATAAGTAAGATATCGCTGCTGTAAATACTGAAAGACTTCAAGAATAACTTGAATTAAATTAATATATAGGTGTTAGATAGCTACATATTTAAGGATGCTGTGCTTTGAATGGAGATGGACTTAAAGAAGGATTAAACTGGCTATCAAATATCTTAATAAAATAAAAATTTTGAAAAAATATTACTTAAATTTGTAATAATATTTAATTAATAAGTATGTTTTCGATAAAATAACAAAAACTTTTATATTTTAATTTCAAATTAAACATCCATTTTATTCCATTAGATTTTGTTGTTATAAAATGATATTTTATTAATTTAATGGTTATTTTTTATATCATAAAAATTTTTAAATATGAAGGTTGACCCAGCTCAATTAATAAATATATTTACATGAAATTATAGCATTTAAAGGATCTGCAGTTGGCGAAAAATTTTAAATTTTGGATTTTGAACCCTAGTTATAAATGGTAATTAATTGTTTTTCAATTTAATGAAAGAAAATTTATATTTTATTAATCATTCCATCATTATTTTTATTATATTGAATAAGAAAATTATTTAGTTTGAAAAAATGCTTTGATAAATTTCTTAATATGACTATTCAGAAAAAAGATATCTTTTATTTAGTTTTTCTTATAATTTTAGAAACCAAATTTGGTATATAAAAGATATTTATTTACTATGTTTGACAAAAGTTAGATTCTGTTGTAATAGATAGTTTTTTTCTAATTTAATTTGATTCCATCGAATTTAATGATATTTTGTAATCAATAATATATCCCAATGAATGTTCTTTTAAATAAAAGAATATTTTTTCCAAGCTTAAAAAGTTTCATTTACTATGAATCAAACAAAATGTATGATTTATTTTTGAAAAATATTTTTAAAAATCACTTAAAAGAAATTCTAACTTTTAAAACTATGATTTTATGAGTATTCAAGTTATTCGTTCTGTTTAAATAAATTTTTTTGGAAATTAGATTTGGTTTACATATAAAATAAATAAAAACATTTTAATGTAAAATATACGCACACTTTTCAAATAGAAAAAGAGACTTTTATGAGTATTTTATAAAATACAGAATATAAATTTGATGCTATTTGTTTTTTTAATTAATTTTCTTTACTGTGAAAGATTGTTTTATTTTTGTTACTATAAGATCAATCTAAATTGCAAATCCCTAAATTTTATAAGATTTCTAACTTTTATTTATCTCAATTATCTTCAAAATAATATTTTTGATTTGTATAAAATTTACACTGTTTTAATTATCCTGTTTGCTTTTTTAGCAATAACTTAATTCCATTTATATATTTAACCAATAAAAATAATTAACTACAATAAGCAATTAAGTAGATGTAACAGCTTTTTAAATAATCAGCTTTGAATAGCCCATAAAAATATAATCAGATTAACTAATTGGGAATACAGTTTTTGTAACAGAAGATATAATTTTCAGAAATTGTTTCACTAATTTGCTTGCTTGCTTCATTAATTAAATATTTTGTATCTACTTTAGAAATAATCTATTTGTAAAGTATCAAAATTTACCATATAAATAACATGAATATGAAAAACAAATTACAAAATAAATCAAAATTAATTTCAATCAAAAGCTAAATATTTAATAAATTTATGATAATTTCATTGTTTCCCATCAAATTAATTAATTAATCAATCAATCACATGCAGTAACTTCAAATTATTTCCTTGTTATGTTGAATTTAATTTTACAACCCTTAATTTTTAAGCAACAATATTAAAATTAAACTGTACCTTAACCACTTGGTATTTATTGGTTGTAGCATTAATTAGAAGTATAGTACTTAATGGATATTAGCTTAGAAACCAATTTCTTTTTTAATTTTTGTTTTTTAATTTATTGAGTTTTTACGGTTCTTCTAAAATAAATAAAATTCATAAATACTAAAATAAAATGATTTATTTTAAAAGTATTAAATAGTCATTTTAATTGTTATTCATTATTAAGGTTTTGTTAGAAACATAAAATATTTCTAAAATAAATTTATTTTTAATTTGATTTATCTGCTAATCATTATTTTATTACTTATAATTTTTATTATTTTAAAGAGAGAGTGAAATCATTTAGTTTCAAAACATAGATGGATAAGTAAATATGTAAATATAATATCATTAAGAAAATTTTTATAATTTCTTTTCTTTAGTTTGTCTTTTGTGTTTGTTTTTAAGCCAAAATTTGGTAATTAAAAGATGTTTATTATTTTTGACAAAATCTTTATTATTTTAAGGTAATAGACAGTTTCTTTCGAATTAAATTTGATTTGATTTGATCGAATTTAAAGAAATTCTGTAATCACTTAAAAAATCACAAAGAATGCTCAAATTTTATAAATTTTTTTTCCAGTTTAAAACTTATGTATCATTTATTACTTAGCAAAATGATTTATTTTTGAATTCTATTTTAAAAAATGATTTATGAGAAGCTCTAACTAGAAAAACTACAATTTTATTCAAGGAATACTGTTTAAATATATATTTTTGAAAAATAGATTTGGTTTACAGATTTAATAATAAGTTTTTAATGTAAAATATACACTTTCCAAATAGAAAAAGATACATTTAATTAATTAGGATTTTGTAAAATATAGATAATTCTACCAATGCTTTTATTTTGTTTAATTATCCTTTTCTTGAACAAGTGTTTTGCTTTTGTTACAATCAGACCAATTCAAATTTCAAATTCTAAAATTTTATAAGATTTCTAGCTTTTCTTTATCTCTCTCAATTGGCTTCAAAACAACTTTGAAATGATTGAAATGATTTATTTTTCATAAAATATAAAATTTTTAACCTTTATTTTATCCTTTATGCTTTTCTAATAATAAACTAACTCCTTTTATTTTTTTAAGCAAGCAATAAAAATGACTAGTTACCATAAATAATTGAGTAGATTGTTTACTTTTTAAATAATCAGCTCAGAATCACCCATAAGCAATATAATCAAATTCGCTAATTGGGAATTTAAATTTTTGTAATAGAAGATAGATACAATTTTTAGAAATTTTTTCACTAATTTGCTTCCTTCCTTTTTGCTTGATTAATTATATATATTGTTTATAATTTAGAAATAGTCTATTTTGTAAAGTATCAAAATTTACCAGATAAATAATATGAAAATCATATTCAATTAATTTAAAAGAAATCTTTTTTACCTTTCTTATTAAAAAACATACAAAAAAAAAATAACATAAAACACTAAAAATAAAAAATAAAAAGAAAACAAAATTTAAATAATTTAAACAAAATAATATTTTATCACTTAAAATGAAAATTCTGTTATGTTTTTATTTCTAAAGATATATTTATTGCAATCATTAAAAGTTGAATTTTTATATTAAAACAAATTAATTAATTTCTTGATTTTATTGATAATTATTAACCATCAAATTAAACACACATCTATCTTCAAATTATGTGTTAAATACTTAAGCTTTATTGAATTTACAACCACTAATTTTTAAGCAAAAATATTAAAATTAAACTGTACCTTAGCCACTAGGTATGGTATTTGTTAGCTGTAACATTAATTAAAAGAAAATTACAAATTAATCTAGAAATTCTTTTTAAAGTAGTTTTTATTCTAATACATCAAGATTTTAAAAGATACAGTAAATAGCTAATTAATTAATTATTTTATTTTATAATTTATAGTTTTAATGATTGCTAATGAATGAAATAAGATTTACAGTTTAAAACAAACATTTCTCTTTTTTAAAAATTAGACAAACTAAATAAAGCTAGATTTTATTTTGGTAAATTTCTTACTAAAAATTTATGTAAGTTAAAGTTAGGTTTTTTATATTAAATATTAATATTTGATCTGATTTTTTTTAACTCAATGTGTGTTATTAATTATCTATATCATTTAATGATTATTGAATTTCTATGTTTAATAAATTTTTGTAACTTAATTTATAAATTAGAAATTGTAAGCAAGTAATCTTAGCTGAATAAAATTGATAAAAAAATTAAAAATTTACAACTTCTCAAATATAAATTTAGAGCCCACTTGCTAAAATATTATAATCAAAAATATTAAAAAAAAATATAAAACTAAATTTCAAAAAAAAAAAAAATGAGAAAAATTACTTCAGTTCTAATTCTTATTTCTATCACTTTGTTCACAGTAAATGCCTAAAAGTGTTCTGATGTCTAAGCATAGCTTTCTTCAGGAAAAGTTTGTTAAAGTACTGATACTGCTTGCTAAACTGCATTAACTACTTTCATTGCATGTACTCTTAACTGTACCTAAAGTAATAATGCTGAATCTGCGGTTGGAGCTTGTTTTATTAAAAACTGCAGCAATATAAGCAATCCTACTGTTTAGAATTATTACAACTAATTGATTAACTGTACTTATAGTGTGCTTTTGTTCTCATCCCTCTTTTTTTTAGTCGCATTTTTACTCTGATGATATTGCACTACTAAATTTGAAATATAATAATTTATAAATTTATAATTGAATGATGTTGTAACTAATAGTTTTTTTTATATGTTTTTGCAAGAGTTTTTTATTAATTATAAGCACTCATTCTTTAATTACTAATCAAATTTTTTTAGATTAAATTTCAAAAATATTAACTGAATTATTTATTGTACATGAGCTTAATCAAACAAGATTGGAAGGATACTTTTATTACTGTAAATTGTAAGTATTTGTAAGTAATATATCTATCTATTTTACAATTAAATACACATTTAAAACAAATAATCCAAAAGTATTTACTCTATGTTTGTTTTTTATTAATTTGCAATTTGTAATCTAAATGAACACTTAAAAAATATTTTTGTTAATTTCTGCTTTGTTATAGATAAAATTTATAGGTTGGATTTAATTTAATTTATTCGAAATTAATTAAAAATTTTTGTAATTGATAAAAGCCCGAAACAAGATAGATGAAATCATAAGAATAATTTAATAAAATAAGAAAGTAAATTTTAATTTAATAATTATATAAAAGAAATATTGCTTTATTTCTCTTAAATTTTAAATGGCTTTAGGTGCTTTCAATCATTTTAATATCAACAAATGAATGAATGACCTTAGTAAAAAATAATAAATAAAAATGTAATATTTCTGTTATCAAGTATAGCACTTCCATGAATTAAATTCTTGTGAACTTTAAAATGAGAGAATTTAATTCAGGAATAAGCTAACAACTAGGTTAACCAAATGAATACAAAAATTTATTAAATTAAGGTATATCTTTTTTTTATTATTTTTAAAATATAATGGTTTTAAAATTCCGCTGATTGGATATATGTAATCAAAGGAGTTTTTAAAAATATAAATATATAAATGAATACTAAAATGGCAGTATACATATTTTTTTTTCTTTTTTTTAATCAGAATTTATATGATAACTTGTTATTATTCGTGTATGTAGCCTTGAAAAAGGCAGTACCCTAGGGTACTATATATACATATATATATAATATTTATTTGCTAATAAAGAAATAAATTTCCAAGAAGAAGTTCATTCAACCTTATAATAAATTAAAAAAACAAAATAATGTGGTCAATTTTATTCTCATAAAATGCCTAAAATATAAAATAGAAAATATTACTATTTATTTAGAAATGAAACTTAGCGAAAATTTTATTTTTAAAAATATAAGTTTCGTTGAAATTTTTTAATAAGAAAAAATTCTAATTCAATTAATAAAAGAGTTATTTATTCACTATATTATTAAAACTTACTGAGTTTTATGAAAATTAATATTTCCTTTTAAATGAGTTTTCTACTCTTTTTTAGCTTAAAAATTAGAAAATTTAATTTAGGAAAATATTTGATTAAAGGTAGTGTCTAGATTATTTTGATAAAATAGAAAAAATAAATGTGAGATAAAAGACTTTTATTTTAAGTGTTTTTTTTAAGTAAAGAAACTAAATAAATCAATATTAAATCAAAATATCTTATTAAATACCTTCTCATAAATTTTCTTTTAATATTTTTAAATAGATTTTTAGTTTATAATATTCTATTTAAATATAAAGAGCAAAGAGTTCTATTTTTGGGATATCTTACAAATCATTCATTTTAGAAATAAATAATAGACAAAAAACTAATTTACCCTATTTTGTTTTGGAAAAATAATTTGATTTGAATAAAATACTTTTTTTTTTAATAACTCTTTTTAGAAAACAAAGCAAGCAGTAAATTTATTGTATTAAGCGCATTTTGATTCTATTTACTTGATTAATATGAAAATTATAAATAATATTGATAAGGATTTTAATACTGTACTTTTACTTTATTTTTTATAATTAATTAAAATTAAAAAGAAATATAAATCATATAAAACAAGAAAATCATTTAAAAAAACTATTAAAATGTAATAACAGCCAATTAATTATCAAAAGAAATGCATTGAGCATGTAAACAGAGATATTGAATATATATAAATAGGCGAAAAAAAATAATAATAAATAGGGGCATGCTAAGAATGTATTACAGAAAATGAGCTAAGAGGAAAAAATTTAATTTTAGTGAGCGATGTGATAAAAATACTTCAGAATAATAATGACATTTCAAAAAATTATCCTAAGTTATAAGATAAAAATCTACTTTTAAAATATTAGGATCAATATAAATCTACAGAATACATAGATCCTTAAACAAAACTAAAAGATTTCTTTGATGATTTTAAAAATAGATTTAGTATTTCAATTTAAAATATAGAATAATCTACTTTGTAAAATGCAAAGAATAATCTTATTGATAAATAACAACTTCTCAATGCATATAATAATATTTCAGAAAGAGGAAAATTTTTAGCTCACTTTTAAGATTATATGGTCGGCGAAAGCTAAGATAACGGCTAAATTCTATCAAAATTTATTTAAGATATGAATTCAAAGGAAAGTGAAAAAGCAAAATATTTAAATGAATAATTATTGGCATTCGAGAAATCTTAAATATTAATCAAATAATAATTACCAATTTAGTAATAACTAAAAGAAATCAGTCTTAATTTTATCGAAACCATAGGAAAAACTTTTATTTTTGATGAAAAAAATGATGGTATTTAATAAAAAATTGAATCTATACTACAAGGAATTAGTGGTTAATTTGAAGCTTTTAAATTAATTATCAACCATCTTGGTTAAATTTAACAAGATTTTGTCAACAAAAAGGAAATTCTTTTAGGATTTTTTTTAAAAAACTCTAATGATTTATCAAGTGATTTTATCTAATTTTCTAAAAGTGTTTTGTAATAAGAGACAGAATTTTACAAAAATGGAAAAGAAAATATTTAATAAAATAAGATAGATTTGTTTAAATAAAATGCTACTAACTTATAAGAAAAAATTTAGCATTTAGCTTAAGAATATTGTTTGTCAATATCTGACAAATTTTATTAAAAATAAGCTTAAAGCGTTTCTTAATCAAGTAATGTTTCAAGAACTAACTTTGGCGTTTTTTAGTTGCCAAATACTCTTCCAATATTTAATAATAAAATATTAATTCCAAATTAAGATAAATTTTTTGTATTCTTTCATCAATAAGCAATTTAGAAAGATTAATAATACCAAGTTATACTTAATTTAAAGCCATTTTAAGATAAAGAAATGCAATATAACTTTTCCATAGGGCTATTAAAAGAATTAGCTCAGGATGAAAATAGAGCTATTAAATCAGAATTTAGCTTTTGCTTGTCAAATAATGCTAATATGAGTACTATTAATGCTAAAGCACTTAAGGGATTCAATATAAGCAATTAACAAATTGCTCATAGCACATAAATGAGAAAAATAGAACTCCTGTTCCGCTTAAAAAATGGCTAATTTCAACTTTAAGATTACCCTCAAAAAGATAATATTACTGTAGCAAATGATGAAAAACTACAAAAAATTGACTTAAATTAAAATGTTCATTTTTTTGTTTAAACTTAAGGGATTCAAGAAATTAACTTTATTGAATTTAGAATTGCTAATTGAATGTTATCATTATTTTAAAATCTTACCTTTCTTTATTGAACTAATATTATTAAGATAATAAATGTTATTTATCTACATAAAAAATATATATACATACTTTGTTTTGTTATTATTGAGGTTAAAATACAAATTTTTAGATGTCTTTATTATTTTTAAAATTAATTATATACATGTACTATCCTTATAAGATATTTTAACAAGTATTAATAGCATCGATCATTAAACCTTTACCAGACTGAGTATTTTAAGATCCACTTCTTTTAGGTCAGGATCAAGTAAATATTATAAAATATAGATAGGTAGATAGATAGATATATTATAGTAATTTGCTAATTTAAAAATGATTGATTACTGATAATGAATTACTAATCAAATTGATAATTTTTTTAATAAGAAAAATAAATTTTTCTTAAAAATTTAAAATAGAAATATAAATAGTAATAATTTAAATCAATTATTATTTAATTAGATTTTAAATAGTGCGCGATTTCAAAAAAATTACAGAAACTCTGTTCAATATATAAACAAATAAAATTTGGAAGCATTTATTTCTAATTTTGAAAAGAAAAATGTAATTAAACTTAAAACTAATGTTTTCATTCAATGATTAATGAAACTTAATTTCCAGAATTTTTTAGCTTTAATTTTATTATGTTAGAATAATTGTTTCCTTAAAAGTATTTACCAAGTATTTTATATGTATTATGGTATAAATAATAATATAGATTATGCATATAAAATTATATCTAATTATATTTTAAAATTTAAAGTATCTTAGAAATTTTTATAAATCGTAAATTAATTTTAAACAGAATCTCCATTTTAATTTGCACTGATTTTCAAAAAAATATAAATCCAAATAATCCTAAAGATACCTATTTATTGATTAAATTTTTGTTTCTGTATTTTTCATAAAAAAGTATTTATTTTTTTTTGATAACCACATCAATTAGTACATAAATAAAAGAGTATGGCATCAACAACTTTAAATAACTAAAAATTATATTAAACTAAAGAAGATAAATTAATACTTTTTTCTTATAATTGATAAAATGAATACTGATGTTAATTAATATATAATATCAGTCAACTTATAAATTATTTTACATTTATTATAAATAATTTGCGTCTATTTTGTAGTAAATATTATTTTTATTATGTTTATATTAAGTTAATTAGTTAGTTAGTTAGTAGCTCAAAATTTTAAATATTACATTTGTCGTTTTAATATTAGAATTTGTAAAAAAGCATGTTTGCTTTGTGCATAAAGTAAGTTTCTTTTCAAAGTGAATCATCCTCTTCATTATTATAGTCATCATCATTTTGGTCGTCTTTGTCTTAACCTTTTTCTCCTTTTTCACCTTCTTCTCCTTTGATATCCTCATCTTTCTTTTTAGCATCTTCATAAATTCTATATCTCAAATCATGATAATATGTTTTGATTGCCTTATAAAGTAGTTTATCATCGTTGGATATAATTTGCAATATTTCACTTTTATAGTCATCTTGTGAGAAATTCTTTCTTAATTGCTATCTCATTCTTACTTTAAGCAATAAATTCTAAATAAAATCTTTAAAGTATTCGCATAATAAAGCTTATGCACCTTCTGTAACAAAGTCAGACTCAATATATAAAGATGCTAATGCTTTAACTTCCTCTTTTAAGTCTTTATACTTTTTTCCTTTAACACCTTCTTATTATCTTCCTGCCATTGATTCTATCAAACTAATTATTTTCTTTATATTTCCTATTCTTAATCAATTAATTAAGTTTTTAATTATTACTTTTACTTTATTAATTAATATTTTCGCATTTAAAGCGCCAATTTCAATTAAAAAAGAATAAGACACAATCAGTAAACAAACATCAATAATCCATTTAAAAGTAAAAGTTAGCAATAATCATATAAAATGACACTCAACCTCTTCCAATTTCTAAATAAAATATTCTTTAAATTTACTTTCCAACCAATTGAGTGATTTTTTGCTATAGAAATATTATTTAAAATTAAAAAAAATGAATTTTTTGTTAATTGGTTAAAGCTTTGAAGTACTGTTTAAAAAAAATGAGATTTGTTTGTAAAAGTTGAAATTGAATTCTACTATGAGTTTTCTGTTAAATAGCTTTTAAAAGAAAGATTTTTATAATTATTAATTTTTTGTGTGTAAAAAGATCAATATTTGAGTTGATTTAAGGATGAATGAAAGTACTAGATTAAATTAAAGTAAACCTAAGAAAAAAAACAAATTAATTGAAGAAGAAGATTATGATGATGATGAAGAAGAAGAGGATGATTTTGATCACACAGAATATGGAATCAAATATAATTAATCAGAAGATATTGAGAATTCTAACTTGCTATACAATAATTCTGATAATAATATAGAAGAGCCTCAAGAGGAGCAAAAAGAAGCAGATAAATCAGAATAGCAGGAATCTGAAAGCAATAAAGATGATCAAGAAAGTTAAAATATGAGCTATCACAGCTTAAATAATGAAAATAATAAGCCGGATTAGCAAGAACAATTTATATTTACTCAGAAAAGGAATAAAAATAGAAACTAAAGAGTATTTTCTACTATTAGGCCATAGCTTGTCTATGAAGATTTCAGTAAAAGGGGTGAATTATCTAAGCAAAGCTCTTCTAGTTCTTTCTCTTCAATTTCAAGCGAAAAGGTCATTTAAAAGCTACTTAAGCTCAGTCATTAGGTTAAGCATGAAAGTGGTAGTGAATCTAATCCTTAAAATTCATAGCAACCACCTCAACCTAGCACTTATTTTGACATAGAAAAAGGAATTATAAATTAACTAACTCAAATCAAAGAAGAATTAAAAGAATAAGAAAAAAATTAGCTTTCTAATAGCTTAGGTATTTACTATTTGCTATTAAATAAATACTTCTACTAAATTACAAAATAAATATTTAAATCCCAATATTTTTTCAAATTTTAATAATTTACTCAATTAATTAAATTAGAATAGTCAACTTTTAAATATTTTATTTTTCCAATAAGCAGATACCATATTCGCTATCAATTTATAATATAAATCATGGATATTTTTTCAATCCTGATCTTAATAATTTTTAGATTTTTAAATAAATTTGATTAATAAGTTAATTTTTTAAAAGAGAAACTGTATGTTATTTATTTTAAGTTATAATTATTGACTGGTCAACGATTGAAAATAAAAAAAACTATTATTAAAATAAAATAGGTTTATTGAATACTGAAATAAAGCAATATGAGCAATTGATTGAATTAATGTTAGAAGAAGAACTTCCTTCAAATTATGTAAAGGAAATAGATCCAGATTAATAAATAGTTTACTTTAACATAGTGACGAAGACTTCAAGTTATGAACATCCTTTAATAAATAAATTCAGAAGAGTTTTATTTGAAAAGAAATTTAAAGAAGACGAGGTTGATTTCTTTAAATTAGAAAACAGGAAGGGTATACCTACTAAATTTTCTCATAATCCGATCATTTAATATGCAAAAAAAGAGGAAAAAAAAATAGAAAAAAAGAAATCTCTCTTAGATAATTAGCAGAAGGTTGCTGCGGCAGTAAATGTAAAAGAAACGCTTTCACCTGATAAAAATTAGAAAGAATCAGCTTTAGCAGCTGCTAAGCGTTAAGTTAGTAAAAGCGTGTATAAAAAATAATCAATAAGTACCAAAATATAAAAAAGTATTGGAGGAATGGGAGATATTCCAGCCAAGAAGCAGCCAGAGCCAGTCTCATTATTTTTGCAGCACCAAAACATACCGATAATAAATCCTGCTCTGATGTTTACAGATATTAAAATAGGTACACTTAACCCGAAATAAGAGTTTGTGGAATTCCGATTTAAAGAGATGATGAATGAGTTATCTTAAATGAAAGATACTAATACCTATAGATTCATCAAAGATAGAATTTATCCAGCTATAGAAGAAGATGAAAACGATAATGAAAATAAGAAAGATTAAAACAAAGAAGGACTTACTACTTCATAACCATAAGAAAATACTTAAAAAATTAAGTAGGACTAAGCAGTTCCAAATCTTAATTTATATCACAAAGCTCTCTTAACAACTTAATCAAAATTTAACAAAAACTCAGATAAAAAGTTATTCAATGGACAATTAATTAGAAATGGCTTAAGCTATATTGTTCAGACTGCAAACAGCACAGCAAGAGGCACAAGCAACAAACAGTTAGGTCACTCTAACAACGTTTCAGGAGTTGAATTTTCTGAAACTACAATTGGAGCATAGTAATCACTGTAGAATGTACAAGAAAATATCTAAGATAGTACAACACAGTAATAGCCTGATAATTAAAATTAGATGACATAAAGCTCAAGAAGTTAATAAAAAATTGGTAAAAAAGAGAGTCAAGAAAGTTCAAGAAAATTGGATATTGCAAATCAAAAAATTAAGTCAGGTCTTTCTACATCTTCTGTAAATTAAACTGAAATTACTACTCCAAAACACACTCAACTAGATGGTGAAAACCCAGATTTTTCTGTTCAAACTAATGAATTCAAACCAGTAATTTAATTTTTTTAAATAAATATTTAGATTAAAAACATAAAAATAAAAAAAGAGTTGTTTGTTATTTTTTATTAAATTTAATTAAAACAATTTTATGTAGGAAAAACAGAAATAGTAAGTTCAATATTTAGACATATATCCTATAAGATAAGAAAGAGAGAATTTGATTGAAACAATAGAAAGAGAATTGATAATTGCTACTGAATACTATGAGTATAAATATGGGAAGGATTTATTTATTTAATAGCAAATTATAGAGTCCTAAAAGTCATTTAAAAGGGCAAATCCAGAAGATGTCATTTTTGCTATGAATTTTTTAAATATTTAGATAAACTAATCTTAGCTATTTTGGGTAGCGAGAGCTTTTGCTACTTTAGATTTACCAGATTTTTGGACAGAAATTTACGATGAAGAAGAAGAGCAGATAGTTTATGTGAATTAGCTTACAAATTTCCATTTTAACATTCACCCCAGTATAGTTTTTATTTAGAAAATTATAACTGAGTATAAAAGGAAAAGAGACTAAGAAGCAATGAAGAGAGCTCAATAAACATTTGCATTTAAACATAAAAGTTATTTATTTACTGCTGAGTATCCAAAAACAGCTCAAAATGATATTATTAACAAAAAAGATGCTTTGTATTATGACTAAATGCATAATTTAAATAACACAACTTTTTAAGAGGATTTAAATATGATATTCGAAAACAGAATGGGAATTCAGTATTCTGTTAATCTTACAAAATTGCACCAAAAACTGGATAAAATTAACCTCTATAGAGGTGATCAAACAACTGTTCCCATAAAGAATAAACTTGAATATATTTCAAATACTTTAAATAACATCAAAAGAAAAGAAAATAAACAAATTGCACCAATCAATCCTTACTTCGACGACATTTACTTCTACGTAGACACAGAGCAAGAAGTGGCAGAAAATAAGTAATTGTTTGATAATAAAAAAATTACTTTTTTATAATTTAATAAAGATAAACAAATAAAAACAAAGCTTTAAAAATCATAATTTTTAAAAAAAGCTAAAATTTATTTTTGAATTATTTTTAAAGTTTTTTGATAATTAAATTTACCTGTTTTTTAGAAGAGTTTAAAAAAAAAATATTTAGGATATTCTCAGAAACAGATATAAGTAAATCAAAAAGAAATAAAGGTAAACACAAAAGATCAAACTCTAATTTATCTGATTAACACATGCTCGTTTTAAGTAGAGAGCTCGGATTAAATTTCCCTGAAGATATTCATGTATTAATTCTTGTACATGAATTTATTGAAACTAAAGAATAATTAAATAATGAATGGAGATTTCGCCATACAAATAAGAATACTTTTTACTGGTTTCATAGAAAAGATTAAAAATGCCAAATAAAATACCCATACCTCTAAGAACTCAAAGACATAGTCTAACTCTTTTAGCACTCTTTAAAGAAGGACATTCAAAAGATTAAAATTAACAAAGACAATTTGAAGTATTTGAGTATGTTCAAAAGCTCAAAGCAAGTGGTTCTCTCTAAAATAAAGCAAGAATCAAGAGATTTTGTTAAAAAATACATGGCATACAACAGCTAATCAAAAAAGGTAATTTAAATAATCAATAAAAAAAAAATAAACAAAAAAATAAACTTTATTAATTTAGAATGATAAAAAACTAAATATGGATAACAATGATGAAATGCTAACATTATCGTCTTCAGAAGATGAAAAAGCTTTGTAAGTTGACAAAAAGTAAATTTTTTTTATAGACATACAATTTATAACAGAATTTTCAGGATGCAAAAATTAGATGCAAAAACAGATGGATATCAATTAAAACACGTGATGAATGTCTTAAGAAATAAATCTTAAATCACTGAATAAGACATCAAAGAGAAGGTTCTTTTCAATTGGCCACTCAAGTTTATATACAAAGAACATAAAATAGAAGACCTGAATTAGACAAAAGAAAAAACCAGTAATGTAAAAGAAAAGAAGATTGGAATGAATTTAAAAGAAAATTAAAAAAACGCTCTCAAAAAGCTAAAGGCTATGACAAAAGTAGTTGGGCTAACTAAATCATCCACTGAGAGTCTTACTGATCTCTCTAAAAAGCAATCAATAATTTCATCAGCAACTACAATTTCAATAGGTACTTACTTACTTACTTATTTATTTGTTCAATTATTTATTTAATATTTTCACTTAAATTAATTTAAAATTTTTAAAAATTTCTTGATAAAGTAAAAATTTTTTCAATAAGTTTTAAAAAGAACAAATTTAATTTATTTATGAATTAATTAATTTAAAGGCTAAAAACCAAACTCTAGCACTTCTTTAGGATCTGCATCAGCTATTAGCAAAAACTTAGTCAGATAAAATACAAATAAAAAATAATACCCTCCAACTTCATATCAAATTATGCAAAATCCTGGATATTTTTCTGGTAAAACTAGTCAAGAATACTATAGATTCTTTAGCGATTCTAGTCGAAGCAGCAGTAGCAGTAGTAACAACAGCAGTCGTTCTAGTAGCGATTCAGCTAAGAATTCCCAATCTAATTTAGATAGCTCATAAAGTAGCTTATTCAAATTTTTTAAATCTAATAATGAACCTCAAGTTCCAGATTCATCGATTTTAGAATAGCTAGTATAATTGCAAGGACTTCCTACCTAAAATGATAATGATTAAGATTAAAAAAATCAACTTAATGTAAGATTTGAAGATGAAGCTTAAGCAGATTAAAAGGAATAAGATGCATCAAATTAGAATAATTAAGCCACTGATTCACAGTAAGAACAAGAAGCTAATGAATATACATATTAAAAATAAGTTGAATTTGATGACACTATTAACTCAACTTAAATCAACAATGATTCAACTCAGGTAGATCTTTATTTATTTATTTATTTATTTATTTATTTATTATATGATTGATAAGTCATTAATAGGAATATAAAATTTTTAATTAAATAATGTTAAATTATTTTTAATTTATTAAGAAATTTATTTTGAAATTTCTACAATTTAGCATTTTATCAAAATTAAATAATAAATTACAAGAAATTTCACAAAAAAGTTATTTCAACATTTTTCTATTAAAAATAGTAATTAATTTAAAATTTCTGAGTATTCTAAGAAATTATTTGATTTTAAAAATGAGTGATAACAAATATTTAAATTTTTACAATATAATTAACTTTTCTTGTAAATAAAAAAAATTTATTTTATAATTATATAATAAAAGTAAAATTATTTAATTAATTTTTACTTGTTTAAACTAACTTTCTTATATTTCGATTTTAGCTTTAAATATCTTAAATTTCTTGTTTAAATTTTAGGTTGATATTAGCTAGGATTAGAGCAAAAGTAAGGATAAGAAGCATGGTAAATCTGGGTCTAAAAAATAATAACGCTCTATTAGTAGCAAAAAGTCTTACACAAAGTCACCTTTGAAAGATGGAAAAAAAAAATCAAAAAAACCATCAATATCTCCTAACAAAAGTGGATAATTTAGTGTCCATAATTAATAGTTATATTAGTAAAATTAAAATAATTTATAACTAAATTCAAAATAAATAGGAAATCAAAAACAAGTAAAAAAAGGCTCAGAGGTAAATAATAAAAATTAACCCATTTCTAAGCTCCAAAATGCTGCCAGTATGATTTCTAAAGTAGTTTCAATTACAAAGCCATCTTAAGAATAAGATAAAAATAAAGTAAATAACTAGAATTAATAAGGTTAGTCTTTTATTAGACTATAAGAAACTCCAAAGGATTAGCCTAAATAGTAATCGTAATAATAACAATTGTAAAAAGAACTTACAATTAAAAAAGATAATGAAAATTAAATAGGTGGTAAAGACTAAAAATAAGAAATAGCCAATCAAAAATAAAATGAACAATAAGTTAACAAATAAGAACCAGATTAACAATCTGTGCCATTAGTTGATTAAAAGTAGGATTAAATAAATGAAAAAACTCAAGATTAATAAAATTTACAGTAATAAGAAATAGTCTAAAAATAATAAGAATAAGTAGAACAAAATACTGAAATCAAGAATTTATAAAACGATCAAATAAAAGATTAATCAACTGAATAAAATAATGAAAAAGAAAATTAAAATACTGAAATATAAAAAGCATAAACAAATGAAACATAATCTTTAGAAAATTAGCAAGAACCAAAAACTGAACCATAAACTGAAGTGCCTAAAATAGATCTAGAAAAATTAGAAAATTTTTCTTAAAATTAAAATGAGTAACAAAATTAACCATAAAATATTCCTGATCAAGCTAATACTCCGATACCTGACTAAAATTAAATATCATCTTAAAAAGAAAAAGAAGAATAAACAAAAGTTGAAATTAGCAGTCCGTAAAGGAATTTTTCATCTCCTATTATGTCTCCTTAAAGAATCTCTTCAAGATAATCATTTCTTAAAAAAGTAGAAGAGCCTTTAAAACTAGACTCTGATCCTCAAACACCTAAAAAATCAGGTTAAATTAATATTATTTTATTTTAAATGTACTGGGCTGGGAGTGCTTAATCAATTTTTTATTTTTTTAAAGAAATACAATTTAAAAAAATAATTTTTAAATTAAAATTTTTTTTTGGTAATTTTATTTTACAACCCTATTCATTATCAATTAATTGATTTATTGATTTTAAAATTTATTTAATTTAAATTTATTAATATTATATATAAATTGAAATAGGTGATGGATCTCCAACTCCAAAAAGTGTAAATTAAAGGAGAGGGAGTTTTAGATGGAATAGAAACGAATAGAGGAAAAGTGAAAGCCATATTGAATAGCAAAAAATTGCTCAAGCAAAACTATAAGAGGAAAAAAAACTTTCAAAAAAATAGGAAGGTGATAAAATAGAAGATTCATATAAAAGTTTATTTTAAAAGCATTTCAAAGTTAAGGCTAAACAAATGAATTTACTGTAACCTAAGATAAATATTTAAGAGTCTGTTTTGAGTAAATACATAAATTAATAAGATGTTATTAGCGAAGATGCATAAGAAGATGTATTAGATAGAGATAGTGATGATGAAAAGAGTAACAACTGGCTTTACACAAATCAATTTAAAAATTTTATGGCATAGCAAAATAAAAGAGGAGTCATAGTATAAAACAAAAGAACCAATATCATGATTCCTCTCAATTAGACTGTAGGCAGTATTTATCATTAGGCAAAAACAGGGTCTTTTATTTAGAATATTAAGCTTTCAGGGATAGATGTTCATCATACTAGTCATACTGTAAGAAGAGAAAGTAATCCTGTTTATCTTTATCCTGAATTGAAGAACTAATAAGCCTATTTAAACCACTAACTTAGAAATTAATTTTATCAAGCAACTATATAACAGTAAAAGATCAAAGAAGAAATTCTTTTTGTCGATTAATTTAATTCAAACTTTATTATGAAACAACAAGGATTAGATTAAGACAAATAAGCTGAGGTTATCCACAAAAAAAATGAAAAAAGTTTAGAGAAGTCTAGCAATGATAACAATCAAAAAAATAAAATTAATCAAATTATTGAAAAAAAAGGCACAATTTTCCCAACATTATAATAACCAACTAAAAAGCTTGTTCCACATATAACTCATAAAGTTAGACTTATCAAGACAACTTCTAACTTTAATTTCAAATAAAATAGGAGTCTTTCTCCCAAGACAGAGTCTTTATAAAATAATGTTGTGACTTAAGATAACATAAACTCACCAAGCAGAAAATAGACCTAAGATTTTAGCAGAAAATAAACTCAAGAATTTGGCAGAAAGCTTACTCATGAAATTACCAGCTAATAAGCTTAAGAATTAGGTAGAGGTTCTGGAATAAATAAAGCTTTTAGTCCTAAAAAGTCTATAGATTATGTTTTAAAGATATCTCGTTAACAGTCAATGGCATCAGATGGTTCATCACCGAAAAATCAAAGAATGCTAGAGAGTAGCAGTCCTAGAAAGAAGCAAAGTAGCGTATTCAATAATTTAGACAGTACTGCAAACAATAAAAGAAATAGCTCTAGATTAGAAAATATTTTTTAGAAAGGAAACGTTAAAGAAAATGAATAATCAGATATTGTTCCAGTAGAATCTTAAGCAATTATTTTAAATGAAGAAAACTTTAAGACCTAAATTGAAAACATTAGTAAGTATTAAGATGACTACAGTAACTTTAAAATTAAATAAATGCTTAGCAATCTCTTGAAAAAAATGCCTTATGTCAAGGTTGATTTCCAAAATTAAATAATAAATAAACTTAAAAGCATACCTGACAACCCAAACAAAAAACTTAATTCTTACAGAGTTTTCCAAGTCGAAGCACAATCTCATTTGGAATTAATTAAGCTCAAATACCTCAAAAAGAAATTAGATTTAATAGCATTCGATTTTATCATGTCTAATTTGCGTATTCCGAAAGTAAAACTTCAAAAAAATAATTTTAAGTTTAACAAAAATTAAATTTGTTTATTTTCATTTATTTATAGATTAAAAGATGATTTAGATCTTTGCTTATTCAGATATATTTTTATTTATTTATTTTTGATAATTATTTTAGGAAGCTAAAAAAACTATTTACGATTCTGAGCTTTTGAAATCAAGAATGTATAGGAAATTCAGGAATTTCTTCAGAGATATTAGGACTTATTTGATTAGCTTGTAAGATATATTTTAAAATTTGCAGAGAATGATTATAGATTCTAAGTTTGAGTGGAAGATATTACCAAAGCTTTACGGGATAATGACACAGAAATTTCAAAGGCAAATTGCTAAAATTAATAAAGAGAATATTTTTGAAAAAATAGTTCTTCATTATGAAAAGAAAAAGCTTAAATAGCTCTTAGGTGAGTAAGAATAAAATAAATTATAATAAAACGAAAATAAGAATTAAGATGAAGAGTTAGCTGATGAAATTATGCTTAGTGATGTTGAAAGCGATCCAGAAGATTAAAATGATCTAAATCCATTTAGCTAACAGTTTACCTTGGTATCATCTAAGGTTTTAAATAAAATGATTAAAGACCAAAAGAAGAAGCAAAGAAAGAGATAAAAGCTCATTAAGAAACTTGAAAAAGGATTGCTGCAAAAAGCTGATTCTGATGAAGAATAAGAATATGCAGAGAATATTAAAATTTACAAACAAATTTAACAAGCAAAAACTGAAGATGATGAAGCAAAAAATAATGAACAAATTTAAGAAAGAGAAGAAAATGCTATCTTAAAAAAAGTAGAGTAAAAGAAAAATATAGTTCACATTGATCAACTAAGAAAAGAAATTGAGAGACAAACAGAAAAATAGAAACAGAAAGAAATTAAAAAGCAAAAGAAAAAAATGATGGAGGAGCAAGATGAAGAAGATGAAGAGGACGAAGAATATGATGATTTTGATGGAGAAAATAAGAAAAAGAAAAAAGGATAGGATGAAGATGACTCTAAATATAATAGTGAAAGCTCAGATAACGAATCTTCTTATTTCTCAACAGAAAGCTCAAACTCAGATCTAGATTCTAAAGGAGAAGAAATGTATGAAGAAAATCAAAGAATTAACCTATTATTAAAGGTATTCGATGATCCAAAGTACATCTTCTTATTCTAGTAATTCCTTTAAAACTAAGAAAAAATTACTCAGCTAGAGGAGTCGAATCAAATTTGGAAAGTAAATTAATAATTTTAATTTTAAAAATTTAAATAAAATCACTTTCAACAGATTTTGTTTGCATTGGATTTATAAAATTTTTAAAAAATTTTTGGCTTTATTTGCTAAGTCAAAGTTAGTGGTTAAATTTGTTTAAATCAGAATTTTAATTTTGATTTTAGTAAATAAAAATGAGAAAATAAAATTAATATTTTTTATGAATTTATTGTATTTGAAAATTAATTAGAATTTGTTAAATAAATTACTAAAAATGACAAGAAATATCTGAAAAATTTTAAAGAAACAAGTTTTGATTAATAAATATTTTAATTATCTTTGAGAAATTTATTTTTTTTATGAATTTAATTTCTTTTAAAAAACAAAGCTGCTGACTAATTAATTGGGGCATATACATACTATGTTCAGAGATAGTGTTAAAAGAGTAGAGATTTTTTTAGATTATGGAATGGCAACAAGTGATTTAGATAAAATGATAAAAAGACTAAAAATAGATATCAACAGGGAAGGTGATTTGATTTGGATAGCCTATTTTTATTGTGGTGTGCTCCTAAGATATAGCTCTAATTTTAGTAACGATGTTTTATAGGCTATATTACAATCAGAGGAATAGAATGACTATGATTCTTTTTTTATGGAAATGCTAGATTTGAATAGAGTAAAAAGATAGTTTGTTATGATAGAAATGAACTCAAAAAATATTAATGATTATCTTATTTACTCTCAGTGGTTTAAATTCTACAACAATAAAAGTGGTTAAATGTTTTTCTATAACCCAATGCTCAAAAAGAAAGTGTCTAGCTTAAGCTAGAAGATTTTCACAATGCAAGAGCACTTCAAGGCAATAGATAAATATAAGTTTATAGAAATGATTGACTTTATTATGAATAAAATTAAAGATGAAGAAGAAAAAGATCTCGCTATGCAATTTAGTTAATTTTTTAAACAGCAACCAATGGATAGCAAGTTCAACGAGTCAACAAACCGCGAAAAGAAAAGTATTTTACACTATAAATCTAAATCCTAAATTAGAGGATCTATTAGAGGATTTATAGATTCAAATCCCAATTTATAAAATTCTATTTAAAAATTCATTTATGACTAAAATAAATAAATTTTTTGATTTAGTTAATAAAAGCAAGTTAAAATAAAATGTATTTAATTTTTTATTAATATTTATAGTTAAAACAAATAATTTATATAAACTCTATTTAATTCAAATTTATATTCTCTAATCTTTCAATTATTCAATTTTCAATATTTTATACGATTATTTATTTTTTAAATGTAAAAGTGTAAAATTAGCTTAAAATCATAAAAATAAAATATAATAGCACCATCTGTATCTACACAGTTTGTGATATTTTAATTACAGGATTAGCAATATTTACAAAAAAATAACTTACATAAATATAAAAACAAGAATAAAATCTATCTGTCTATATTTTAGGTTAAATTATCTTATTTTTTATTATTCAAATATTTAATATTTATTCATCCCTTTTTCACCATTTGTATGTGCATCACGATCAGAAATTTATTTCAAAGACAACTAATCTTTTTGATTTAAGACACTTGTTTTCTACTTACAATTATTAAGATTCATTGAATTAGTTTTTACTTTTATTATAAATTAACGTAAATTACTAAAAAAAGTTTAAACTAATAAA